CTATATATATATATATATATATATATATATATATATATATATATATATATATATATATATATATGGTTGGCGGCATCCGGTTTCGGATTTGCCTGTCACTGTGGCAAGCCACAGGACGCCTGCGCCTACAGAGGGACCATGGATGGCTTGCGCTGCACCACCCACAGCTCCAACCACATACCCCATATCCAGTGTAAACCCGAAGGAATAAGACCGGGAGGCATGTGGATGGGAACCACGTTTCATCAACGGAGCCGGCCCACACTCCTTCACAGGCAAACACAAGCACGCTGTATTTGGGGAATCAAGCGCACACAAGGCGGTGGCTGGACCGTAGTCCGCTCCACACTGAGTGCATGGAACCGCTCTTTGAGCCTAGCACGGCCACAAGAACCGTGCACCCCGTCCCCTCCAGCAACGACCAACTGTCTCCTGGAGCCAGTATGAACGAGGTAGTGGGTAATAGACAGGTAGGCACCTTGTCAACATACACATCAAGCGCAACCACACCGGGGATATCAAACAACAGCCATTCACTTTAAACGACAAGTTGAAATAAAATAAATCCAACAATGCATACAGATACGGTGGCATAACTCTTCGCTAATTTACCATATGAAGTAAGTGCGCTAACAACAAATCCGTGATAAGTAAGAAATGTCCACAAGTTACTTAAAAATGCTACAAAACGCAACAAAATTACCGAAGATAAGCGCAATTAGTGTAAACAACGTGGCCACTTAATAGAACATTATTCAGGGAGGCAGAACAAACCAAATAAAGCGGAATGAAATTTATCCAGCTTAAAAAGACCTAGTTTGAGTGTAAGTTGGTTTAGCCCAACTGCAGTGAAGAAGCATCAAGAATGCAACATCAGCCTCAGCATGGGGCATGCATATATATATATACATATATACATATATATAATCAGTCTGTTAGCAGATACTATATCAGAACTATGGCAGAAAAAATTGGCGAAACTAGAAACACGAAATGCGATTTAACAAAGGAAAACCATTTCTTTTGGTTTTACACACGCCATTTTGAGTCTTTTTTGCTTTTGTTTCGTGGGTTTGTGTGCATCGATGTCTGTTTCGGACCATGACATCCAATGTTTTCGACCACTGAGATTCAGCATCTCGTGGTCCCCAACCTGGAAAACGGACTGGTCCAACTGCCGCCACACGCAAAGTTGCCTTCTTCATGCTCCTCTACGTCATTGGCTGTCCACCTCGGCACTTTTCAGCCGTTCCCTGGGAGTGCCAATAGCGCCCGACGAGGCATGCGCAAAACGTGCCCGAGCCAACGCATACGATGTCGGAGGATAACGTTCTGGAGACTGGCACTACTCGCTCCAAGCACTCAGTCTCGAACCTCTGTGTTGCTTACGTGGTGTTGCCACCACACCCGAGCAATCTTTCGTAGACGGCGATTGTCGAAGACTGATAACCGCTTCATCTCATCCGAGCGAATAGGCCGTCTCACAGCCGTACAAGAGTACTGCGCGGACGGAAGCATTGTACACACTGCCCTTGAGCTTGAGACTGACCTCACGACGACGCCATAGGTGTCATAGTTTGATAAATGCAAGACGGGCCTTTGCAACCTTTTGTGGGACTTCATCTCCAACACTGCCACCGGCCGTGATGCAACTCCCTAGATAAGTAAAGCAAGCGTCTTGCTCCAGAACATGTCCAGCAATGGTGAGTGCGAGTTTAGGCCTCTGCCAATCCTGGTACAGCCTTTTACATTTTCCTGGAATGAAGTATAAGCCGTACTTAGACGCCTCTAACTCTAAGCGGTCCAAATCGCTCTGGATGGTTTGTGGGTCGTCCCTCAGCAAGGAAATGTCAGCGACATAGTCCAAGTCCGTGACTCTGTCTCCAGGGAGGAGCTCAACATCGTAGTTCTAGACGCCTTCCCATGCTCTTTGGATGACATCTTCGATGGTAAAATTTAAGAAGAAAGGTGAAATAGGGCAAACTTGGCAGACACCGCTGCTCACAGCAAATGAAGAAGAGAGCGTGTCGTAAGCCCTGACTTTGCCTGACGTGTGACTGTAAAGTTCTTTCAGGATGGTCATAAACTTGTCGGGCACACCTTTCTTCAGTAAACACTTCCACAACGCAGATCTATCCGCCGAATCAAATGCCGCCTGGATGTCCAAGAACACGACGATTGTTGGCCGCCGGTGGATGTGACGGAGCGTGAAGATTTGGTCGATGCAGCCGCCCCGACTATATGCGAATTGCTTGTTGCCTTTCCTTCGATGTGGTATAAGTGAAACAATATGCGAAGAGGATGACACCTTAATCACCAGTCTTCAACAGCGGCTGGAGCGATAGGCCGGGCATTTTGGCTCGCAGTTTTGTTGGCCCCCAGCTTCATCTGATACCTCTGGCGCTCGCGCTGGGGCCTAGTGGTCTACACCCATGGATCTATCCTCTTACCAGAAAATCAAACAGGAGCTACGCCACACGAAGCGTTATAAGGTCCCCGACCCTAATAGTCTTCCTCCGGCTCTATCTAAAAATGGTGGCGCTTCGCTAGTTCGAGGACTCACTTCTTTGTTCTCGAAAGTTTGGTCGAAAGAGGAAGTTCCATCATCTTGGGGTGAATCGATGGTCGTCCCCATCTTCAAAAAGGTCCTGCGCACAATCTGCTCCAACTACATAAGGCATAAGCTTAGTCCCCGTCGTTTGCAAGCTGCTAGTGTCCATCAGACTTCTCAGGCTATCCCCAACGCGCGAATTGTGGCAGCGAGAAGAAGAAGCTGGGTTTCGCCCTGGTCGCGGCTGCATCGATCAAATCTCCACACTTCGCCAGATCCTCGAGCTCCGCCAGGTGTATTAGAGGCCAACGATTGCTGTGTTTTTGCATATCCGTGCAGCCTACAATTCTGTCGATCGGACGGTACTGTGGCACTGCCTACTGAGGAATGGTCTCCTCGAGAAGTTCGTCTCCATACTGCACGCTCTCTATAGTCTGACTTTGGGCATGGTTAGGGATTATGGCAAGCTTTCGCCTACCTTTGTGGTCTCCAGTGGAGTTCGACAAGGATGCCTCATCTGTCCGTTCCTATTCAACTTTGTCATTGAGGATGTCCTAAAGAACGCTCTGGGCGATTCGTTGAACGCTGGCGTTGAGCTCTTCCCAGGTAGTCGAGTTGTTGATTTGGATTATGCTGATGATATCGTCTTGCTTGGTAACAATTCACACTTGCACTAAACCGCTTGGCGATTGAAGCATCAAAATATGGTATGTACTTTTCGCCGTCCAAATGCAAGGCATTCTTTCAAGACTGGTAGGTGCCTGCGTCTGCACTCACTCTTGGTGGTGAGACACTAGAGGTTGTGGAGAGCTTTGTCTACTTAGGAAATTGCATCACTGCTGACGGGGTTGTTGGAGACGAGATTCCGATGCGCTTCTCGAAAGCACGCCTCGCTTATTCTAGGCTGAGGCACTTGTGGCCTCCCCACGACATTCGTCTCTCCATCAAAGGGCGGGTCTATTGTGCAACCGTTCATGCTTTACTGTTTTACGGATGCGAGATTTCGCCCATTCGTAAAGCTGACTTGCACAGGCTATCCGTCTTCGAGCACCACTGTCTGCGGTCCATTACCCGTGTGTGGTGGCGGCACCACGTCAGCAATGTGGAAGTTAGACAGCGTGTCTTGGGACGAGGAAGCCACTCGCTCGAGGAGCTCATCACATTGCATCAACTGCGGTGGCTAGAACGCGTATTACACATACCTGTTCAGCGTTACCCGCGTCGCGCGTTGTTTGCGGTTGCTGGACAGGGCTGGAAGAGACGGTCTGGTGGACAGCCTGTAACTTGGAGAAGCCGCATGAAAAAGCTGACGAAACGGTTGGCCTCGTCCCGTTGTTGTCGACTACCTGGTTGGGGTCCGAGAGCTGCGGATACTTGCTGGTTGCAGACATTGGAAGCCATGGCTCATGATCGATGTCAATGGCGGACGTGTGCATCGGTGTGTTGCGGTGTCCCTTCTTCCTCCCCCTAAAAAAACCAACTGAACAAAATTTCAACAACTGTGAGTGCTAAACTGGACAGTTAAAAAGCTTTTGTTGTTGTTATTTATTATTATTCATACTGTTTTCCCATCCAGCCATGATTCGGATGGCACAATATCTGTACCTGTTTTCGCCATTGGTCATGGCAACCGGCTCCACCATAGTACGGCACCTAGGTCTTTGTTATCTATTTGACTTTCAACTCTCTTGCAGCGTTCCACCCTACGAATAGTGTATATCCATTCTCTACCATTTTCTATTCGCGTGTCATATTTCTAACATGGCAAGCTGTGTTTACTCATCTATTAGATTTCGCTGTCGCCTAACTGAATGATCTTAATTCTAATTTATCACGCATCTGCGAAGCGTTATGAATTCATTGACTACCCCCTCATACTTTGCGCTTCTGCACATTCGAGTTCGGCGATACTACATGGTATATTCATTTTTACTTAACAAGCATTTGCCAAGTAATACTCAACTGCTTTGTCATCAGCAGTTTTTGCTCCTCTAGATGCTTTCTTTCTGCGTCGTTGTTACCTTATCTCTATGCCATCCAGTGTAACACGGCTTTGTTGTTATCTGTTCTGTGGCTTAACACTGAGTGCTTTTAGCAGCTGTCAAACATTAACTTCTTTTTTTCTGATTGCTTACACTGCTCTATCATCTTCACTGATTGTAGTGCGGGATTGTTTTTCTGCTAGCAATCATCAGGTGGCATTCGCCTTTTATCACCCTTTTCTTGGGTGGTTCTCTTTGCTTAACTGTCTTCAACACTAGTTGCTTTTTGTCTATCTCACTGTTTTGCTGAATTGTTCAGTTTATTCCTTCACCGTTTTTGTCAATTCAACAACTTAGTGCATTGAGTGGAACCATACTATGTCACCATTCTATTTTTCGGCTTCGCTGCCGTGTCGATAGATTTCTCATGTGTGTTTCCATTTTACTTATTCCTCTCATCCTTTTAGGGAAACAGACGCTCTTCTAGGTGGAAAAACGGAACTCCGCGTGGTCGGCGGAGATTTCGTGGTGCATCCAAATCAGGTACGTTCTCTTGTTTTTGTCAGACGAGGCGTCTATTTTGTAATTGTTTTTCGGCTGCCGTAATCCCCGATTAAATCCAACATTGCTTCGGATCCAACACCTTGAAGATAATGTGCCTTATCATCGCCTCCGTTTAAGCCCCCCCTACTGAATGCACTTCATAGGGTACCGAAGACGATTTCTATCAACAACTTTCATCTCTTCGCATGACGAAGAATACTGACATCGTGATTGTTACTGGTGACATGAATGCCATCTTTCAGAGTCTGAACAAGATTTGAAAGACAGCTTCGGAGTCAGTGCACGCCGGACGGACAATGCTGACCGATTTCTGCCACTATGCGCCGACCACAACCTTTAACTTAGCGGCCCTGCTTTCCAGCACAAAGTTCACACCATCTCACCTGACGCCCACCTAATTCTTCAATGCCCTGGACTCTAATTGACCATATTGCCGTCAGCTACAGATGGCGCACATCAGTCCAAGGTTGTCGGTCGGTTTGGAATACATGACTGGATTCTGACCATGCTCTAGTGCGCGCACCCTTGGCACTTCCTCTTCCCGCTTCAAAGAAGCGCCGGTTTTCTAACATTTCTACCTGTAACTCGCAATCTGCCGTTGAACAATCTCACGATGAATTGACCCACCAATTGTCAGTAATAAATGAGGTTGGTGAACCGAACGCTGGCTGGGATCGTCTCAAATGTGCTATGAGGGATGTCTTTGACGCTTGCTGTGCACCTAACTTGGGACTGCGAATGGATCTCTAAGGCATCGATCAGCTTTGACCTGAGCACGGAAACAGGTTGCCATAGGCACTGAGTTTCAGCGTGTTTCCGTAACTGTGGAACGACGTCTGACTAGAATACTTCGAATCGACCGGGAACATTGGTATGTTGCAAGGGCCCGTGAGATGTAGAAAGCCAGTGCCATTGAGGACAGCCGAGTGCTGTTCCAACTCATCTAGGACACTGGTCGGAGTCATCAGTTAACAAGATGATAACAGAAAGACGAACATTTGATCTACTCTCACCGTCATCGACTAGTCTGTTGGGCGGAACATTTTGAAAAACAGTACGGCAGGCCTGCTGCCACACTGCAGTTTGTGGAATCATCTGAGGCGACGTGAGAAGTAGATGCCACACCTCCCTCTTTGTTAGAGATTCAACATGAGCTCTCCATGTCGTAACAGAACAATACTTGCATCCGAGGACCTTCCTCCCTCTTTGCTAAAAATTCATGGCGACTCTTTGTTGACCTAACTTCTATTTTTAACACGATTTGAACTCTGAACTCCTTCAGACTTGCGAGTGTCAACTGTCTGTCCATCTTCAAGAATGGTCAGTGTACTTTGTGGGAAAATCATCGAGGTATTGGTCTTGTTTCTGTTGCCTCCAAACTTCTCCCCGTGTGAACCGAATCACTGTTTGCCAGACTGGCTTCCGCCCTGCTCTTGGTTGTATGGACCACATATTTACTTTTCGCCGGGTTAAAACATCTACGGACGACTAACTATGGTGGTTTTACTTAAAAGCCGCCTTCTACTGTTGTGGCACTGTCTATTCATGAAGTCTGCCGGCTAAATACTTTTCCATTATGTGATCTCTACTGTGACTCCCGAGGCCGTGTAAGGGTCTACGGGAAACTGTCTCCTGAGTTCCCCACTTCAAGTTGGGTTCACTAGGGTTGTTCGGTATCTCCTTTCCTCTTCAACTTTGTTATCGAAATGAGTGACACCCTTTCGGACTCTATCGGAGTTGAAGTTCTGTCAGGTGACCAACTGACAAACCTGAAGTATGTGGAGAACATAACTCTTCTTGGGTCTGATGCGGAGGCTATGTAAACACTACTGCACGCCTCGACATGCGCTTTACACCTTCAAAGTGCAAAGTACTGTTGTAGGACTAGACCGACACACCTCCGGTTCTAGCTATCACCGAACAGCCACTGGAAGTGGTGGATAGGTTTACCTTGGTAGCTGTTTCATCACTGGTGGTCCGACCACTGAGGTAGTTACTTCGCTTATCAACTAGACCCGTATGGCTTTCCATAGGCTCAACCATCTATGGGGACGGCGGGATATCAGCCTGTCAATGAAAGGTTGGGTGTATAACGCTGCTGTAAGGCCAGTGGTACTGTATGGATCAGAGACCTGGCTAGTTCGCAGCGAAGACATTTAACGAGTGGCCTTGTTTGACTATCGGTGATGGGGAATATTGTTCATGTCTGGTTGGAACATCAAGTGAGCAATGCTGAGGTCCGCCAGTTGGTTTTTGGCAAGAAGCCTTTTTGGTGCTTCGATCGTGCTTGATGAATCTTAGTCGCTTACGTTGGCTAGGCCATATCCGCATGTCGTCGACCGATTTCTCTGGCGTGCATTACACACCGTGGCTGCACCAAGTTCGGTGAAACCGCGAGGTGGCCAGTCGATGGCATTGTATAGAGGCATGAGGAAACTGTCTGAGAGAATTGGTCAGGTTGGTGCGTGGCCTCTTTACGGAGGGGGACATCGGGATAGTCCACACCAATGGTTGGAAACCGCATTCGACATGGCGCAGTCACGTAGTCAGTGGCGTTCCTGCATTCGGTTGTTTAGTCTAGCGCACCTCCTCCTGGCTTCCATTTTCTTCACATTCCATTTGCATTCAATCGTTGTTTTTATTCTCGCGATGTGGGTCGTGGCAACCGCATCTACCGCACTTCGGTGCTCTGATCATAGTCGTTCAACCGAACAAAATGTCAACTGCTGGAGCACCGCCACTTATATTGACGGCCCGCCGCAGTCGTGTTAGGTACCAAAAGTGCCTTCAGGTCAGTGTATCCATTTGCCCATTGGGTTGTTTCCAAGAGCGCCCAACGCGCGTAGCTTGGACAGGGTGGGAGCTTATGACAAACCGTCGCTACCCTTCAATATCCCGAGTCTTGTGAGACATTGATGCCCGATGTCACCTTTACTTTTTAGCTTTGCTATTAACGAGGTTATAGCTACTGCGTTCCTTGGACACGACTTACCTGGTGTGGAGTTGCTCCCATGTGATCGGCTTCTTGACTTGGAGTATTACCCTTCTCTGTGGCCGCTGACAAACGTGCCAAGGCGCACTGGTTGTAAGTCGCTTCGAGATCTGCTTCACACCATCGTAATACAAAGTCTTTCATGATTGACAGGAACCGCTTCCTGCGCTAACCCTAAGTGGAGATCAGGTAGAAGTCGTTCATAAATTCAAGTGCCTGTGCACCTGTATCATCGCCTTTGGAATGGGAGATGAGATTTTGAACCGTATAGCAAGACCTCGAGACGTTCGGGCCTACTATACAATTGTGAAACCTGGCTCATCTTATCAACAAACCTAGAGGCTAGTTACGTTCGACTTGCGGTACTTTCGCAGCTCAGCTCACATTTGGTGGGAACTCCGCGTGAGCAATAAGCTTGTTCGGTGTCTTGTTTATGACGCAAGAAGAGCAGTTGAACTGCGCAGTACCATTATTTCACTCATCGGGCTCCGATAGCTAGGCCACGTGTCGCACATGCCAGCACACCGACTCCCGCGACGTGCGTTGTTTGAGCAACCGGGATGTGGATGGAAGAATAGGAAGAGAAAGTAGCCAACGACATGCTCAAGAGGAATGAAGGCACTTAGTTCGAACTTGGCCTCTGTTGGAGCCTCTCGGTCCCCTGGTTCAGGTCCTAGGAACGATAGACACGTTTGATAGGCAATGTCAGTGGCGCTAGTGTTGTGAATTTCTTTTTCCCATCTTTTCGCACTTAGCCTCCTTTCTAATCACGATCTCGTCATTACTTCATGATATGTAAGAAAACATAATAATGGATATATTTGGGTGTTGCTCTTCCCAACCCTGGCACACCAAATATATATATTCAGGATACGGTCCTCGAGATCGGAATGACCGAGGTTTACCTCAAAGTGAGCCGAGGTTTCATTAGAGGTTGCGAGTCGTAACCCAACCACACAGCGTGCTCCCTAAATTGAGCTTTGAAAACATAATAATGTTTTTGTTTTCCTATTTCCTCTTTATTCTATTTTGTTTGCAACCAGATTTTATTGTGTTACAGCACAATGGTTTTGGTATTCTTTCCTCTAGCTGATGTGTAGGATGATATATGTTCACACAATAAGCTACTCCGATTGATTTTCATCACTCTTTTCAAACTTCTTTTTCACTTTTCGCCATCTACGTTTGCTGTATTTTCCTCAGTGCTGTTAATTGCTACCCAACGTCGCAAGTGGTGGCCACTAGATCCACTGCATTTCGTTTTCCGGGGCATAATTTGACCGAACTAAACTGAGGATAAGATGCACTTGTTCATGATAAGAAATGAATGTTTCCTTTCATGGTATTGCTTAGGTTCAACCAGTGTGGTGTTATAATTGGGCTATCTTTTCAATGGACAATTCGTAAGTGTTCAGTTACCGGCAATCACTATATCCCTTACAAGGAGTCTAATTTGAAGGTGGAGCTCAATTGAGGCTGTGTCTGTATTCTCTTGTTCCTTTTGCTGGGAATCAACAGAACAGGACAACGCATATACTTGATCCTCGGAAACGGTCGGTTGTTGGTGATCTTGAAACCTAAGCCCACAAGAGCGAGTACTCCTCATAAAATTCGGTGTACTGTACAGGCAGGGGTACTTTTTGGAGCAGAAGATAGCCAGCAGCAGTTTGTGGTGTGTGTATATGATTTAAAGTGGCGGCCGCATAACACTTAGTGAAAGTTCTTCACTCCAGATGACGATATATGCATTTACACTATTTACACATATTTCCTTGTATACTCTTAACAATGATATTTGTCTTCCATCTCCAGATGCCCTTAAAACAACTCATGTGATACAATAGGCGTTTTGTTGTATTCACCACTGAATTAGGTGGCAAAGATAAGCTTATGCAACATGACTGTTTGGACGGGTTTATTAAACATAGAAGAGCCTTAATACCTGCTGCCAGCAACTCATTCTCTTACATCTCTTTGAAATTCCGGTCACTTATATTTGAAGCCATTGACATTCTCAAATCATTATTACGGATGAAGCCGGACTAGTGGATTTTCAGAATACCGTCAGTCTGACTCACCCTAGCGTTAAAACATCCGCTCTCTCTGGCGCTGTCTGGCAAGCCCGAGGTCTTTTTTAGATGCAGGGTACTCCCCAATGTAGTGTTTACATCGTTGAATGCAAACTAAACTGTGCATTGGTACGGTTTCAAGCAATTCAGTGCGTGTCTGTACTCGCATTCGTTCTGGACTTACCTCATTGTGTACATCATGTTTTCACGTTCTCTGTTTTCTCTCAACTCCACCTCATCATGTTCGATGCAGCAAAAAATGCTGATCGCTTCACAAGCCTCTGCTCAGGGAAGAACAATAACGACAATGGTTGGCCCATCCTCCTCGCTTCTCCCACTAGAACATATGCTGTAAGTTCCATTTTTAATGGGATATTTTCTTGCTAACCAGAATTATCCGCTTTTTCAGTTTTATTGAGCCGTTTAACGCTCTGTTACATCTTACTGCATTACTGTGAACGATTTCTTGCCACTTGCTTATAATCATTGTTGAATTCCCCTTTTTCCTTATCACCTTTCAGACTCCTGGTCGGGGCCGTCCGCGCTTAAACAACTTGCCCCCATCTCAACTTAGGAGAGCAGCACGCAAAAGATCCACTGTACCCGCTAGGACATCACTTGCACCTACGAGTTTCGTGCAAAAAAAGATGAGGAAAGGATCAAAAAGTATGTTGAGTGACCTGAAGGACCACCGCGATGAAGATGACGAACTGACGGATCGCTGTTGCTCTCCTTCTGTTGGTGCTGGTTCTCCAGACAAGATTTCTTGCGCGCAGAAGGCCCACCGACGTCGAACAACACAGTCCCACAGTCCTCATGCTCAATTGTCCCCCGGTCGTAAGAGTGTTTCGAACAATTTGAATGCTTGTTTCAACCTCAAGCCTTCCCCATCAAAGCGGACAAGCAGTGGTACTCCCAGGCGGCGTTCTTCTCCGTCCAGCAACTTTAGTTCTTGCAGTTCCCCGTCAACATCTGATGCGGATAGCGATAGTGGTTTCACCAGTAGGCACCGGACACTTATGGAAGAGAAGAGCGCCGAGGAAAGCCGTAAACTTCGCAGCCCGACACGCGGTTATTCAGCGCACAAAGAAGCCAAGTTGTCTGGCACCAGTAGTACAATGTTACGTCGGCCGCCGTTCGCTCCTCCTCTTGGGAATACCACAAGCGCTTTGGGGGTGAACTCAGTATCCAACGCTTCCGATCGAGCAAGCTTATCCGCTGCCGTTAATTTATTCTATTCTGGACAATCCTTATCGGGGAATTATGATCATCCTGAGACCTCTGCCACTGTTTTAGCAACTGCTATCAACCTCTCCTGGTCATCAAGTGCTCCCGGTCATCCACTCGGCGACTCTCTGGGTTCTACAGCTGCACCAGGGACTACAAGCATAGGATTGAACAATACATCGGGATATCCTGCCCAGCTCCCATCACTATCCAGGTCTCACCTTCCTCCAAACAAACGTGCCGCTGCAGCTGCTACTGCAGCAGCAGCGTTGAGCGGAACCTCAAATATGCCCACCGTTGATGGTGTTGGCCACTTATCAAACCAACTGTCATCGATCCATGGGTCGGAAGTGAACTCTGTGCCATCTGCCTCGAAACTATCACATCGAGGCGTCCAAGTACGTACTGGTGCTTTGTTAACTTTTTTTTACCTACAATTCTGCCAATCGTCACTATGGTTAGACATGGTTGGCGTATCCGGTTTCGGATTTGCCTGTCACTGTGGCCAGCCACAGGACGCCTGCGCCTACAGAGGGACTATGGATGGCTTGCGCTGCACCACCCACAGCTCCAACCACACACCCCATTGTCCAGTGTAAACCCGAAGGAGTAAGACTGGGAGGTATGCGGATGGGAACCACGTTTCATCAACGGAGCCGGCCCACACTCCTTCACAGGCAAACACAAGCACGCTGTATTTGGGGAATCAACCGCACACAAGGCGGTGGCTGGACCGTAGTCCGCTCCACACTGAGTGTATGGAACCGCTCTTTGAGCCTAGCACGACCACAAGAACCGTGCACCCCGTCCCCTGCAGCAACGACCAACTGTCTCCTGGAGCCAGTATGGACGAGGTAGTGGGTAATAGACAGGTAGGCACCTTGTCAACATGCACATCAAGCGCAGCCACACTGGGGATATCAAGCAACAGCCATTCACTTGAAACGACAAGCTGAAATAAAACAAATCCAATAATGCATACAGATACGGTGGCATAAGTCTTCGCTAAATTAGCATACGAAGTAAGTTGGTTAGCAACGAATCCGCGATAAGGAAAAATGTCCATAAGTTACTTAAAAATGCTACAACCGCAACAAAGTTACCGAAGATAAGCGCAATTAGCGAAAGCAACGTGGCCAGTTAATAGAACATTATTCAGGTAGGCAGAACAAACCAAATGAAGTGGAATGAAATTTAGCCAACTTAAAAAGACCTCATTTAAGTGTAAGTTGGTTTAGCCCAATTGCGGTGAAGAAGCAGCAAGAATGCAACATCAGCCTCAGCATGTGGCATATGGTTAGGCATATATGTATGTGATATATATATATATATATATATATATATATATATATATATATATTGCAACAGTCTATGAATAGACATTGAGCCATCAGAAACCATGGAACTCAAAAGAAGGTACAGAAATAGTAAAACACAACACATCAAAGTCCATGGTTTCGTCAGAGGGCGAAGTACTACCCGGTTGCCCAAGCCGAAGTAGGGTGTTGACTTACGGGACACCACCCCGAGCCTTTGGCTGAATAGCATGCCCGCAAGGCAGCGGAGCGAATTCAGGGAATCGCGCCCATTGGGAGCCGGTGACTGATTGCTCAGTTCATACGCCTTTCATTTGTTCCTTTGTCAAATAGGGGCCCAATGCTCCCCAAAATTACGGCATAAACTTGCTGGAATACAATGCTTCACCAGGATGAAGCAAGGGGCAGTGATTTTATTTAGTGGCGAGTCACGTCTGCCACGTCACAGTGTTGTTAAACGGACATATGTGGCTTTTTATAGGGAGAACGCTTGCCAGGCGGATACCCACCACGTCCTGGAACACTGCCGCCGAACCATTTGCTGAAACAGGAAAATCCCGAACCACGCAGCTGGCACCGTGAGGAGGTTGTTCGGCAAACCAGCCATGTATCACCCAGTTAATGTCTACTACATTCTATCAATGTTTTCCTTGATTCTATGTACATGTGTCGCTCTCCTTTCAGCCGTCACTGGTTTTTTCTTATCTGATGGAAAATGTTAGCATTCTTAATCAGGATATAGACCTTTCATGTTCTATGCGCCCACTGGGGTGCATAACAGTAGGATCTACTTACTTTGAAGCACGTGCTTCATGTTAACCAACATGATTGTAATTAGCTCCGACTGTCATATAAACCGCACATTGCGACCCGTATGCCATCTGGAATTGACTACATCACCACTGAGTTGAGCTTACATTGACATATGCCGATGGGAAGGGTGCATATGCACAGTTGTGCGCCGTATACCAGGGACCAAAGCGCCAAGTTCTCCGGTAGTCAGACTCACATCAGAGCATAAATGTAGTGTTTATGCGCCAGTCTCCCACAAATCTGTCTACGTATCTGAGCCACCACTTTTCTTAAACACATCGATCGATTGCACACGCGGTTATTAGCCATATGGCTGAGCGCAAGGACACGTGTTACGTTGGTCTGTGCTGCGTTTGACTCCGTGAGTCGCACAATAAATCGATTTAACCAGTGTGGCGGGCCTCTATGCACGCATCGTGCAAGATCGCTGCTTCTCTGAAGCAATGTGGTTGTTCACATCTTGGAGCTTGTGAGACCTCACTCACTGCACGTCTCTTCATGGCCATGTTCATTTGCGTTGAACTGTATTCCAATGCATGCAGTGTAAGACGACTACTGGGTTCCCTAGATGTTCTAGGGTCCTCCACAGCGTAAGGTAACCTGAGATACTAAGTTCCTAACTTTGCTATTTAAAATGGCCACAACAGTTGTCTCCTGGGAATTTGAATCCCATTTCCATGTGCCGGAACGTGATTTCAGTTAAGCAGTGCTATGCAATAACATTACTTGGACCAAATTACTGAAACCGTTTTGATTTGCCTTGTGTTTACTATTTTCTACATCAAAGGTGCTTGATTGGATTGAGCGAAGTTTCACATTCTCACCTGAGTTTGACACATGCGTGTCTAGTATGCACAGCTCTAATAAGTGTAAATCATTCGTTAGACCCGTCAAAGGCATTTCACAATTATCCAGTATATCGTACTCTTGAAAGAAAACAACTATCAATCATTCTGGAACGGTCCACTGAAGATCTTCCACAATTTCTCCATTACACCGTGCCTCTCCGGGGCCAAACTGCTTTACAGATTTAAGCCGCTTGTTCCGATCTAATGACTATCGAAACGAGTCATCGTTTCACTTCTCGGCACCTATGAATTCACAAAAACATAGTATGGGTATGGTTACACTGAGCTCGAATTTTTCGGAGCTGCTTAGCAGTAGTTAGCGAACTGGGTGGATGTTTTTACACTCTACTCTCATAGTCAGTTGTGACTTTTGAAATGTTCATCACTGCTTCATATTTTGGCACCCGTGTTAGATTGTCTTGTCATAGGCTGTCCCTTGTATAAAAACCTAGGGAAGTCAACTAGTGCCGAAATGTTAGTTGACACCGTAATTCATTTGAACGAGAAAAAAACTCAGGTAAGGTAACAACGGAGGTCACTTGAATTCATTTACGCAGAGTGTACCAGATGAGCACTCATGAAATGTATGGAGTTGATGGAAAATACTGAAGCTCTCGTATATACGAATGGGAAGATTCGGCTACAACAGGTTCCGCTGTTGGGGTTCATGTATCTCAAAGCAAATGGACAAAACCGAAAGGCGAGACTGTAAAGATAGTGACTAACTCCTGTGTGGCCACCGCGTAAACAAAATGGTTACATTAATGGAAGCTTAATATAGCGTTTTTTAGATCAAAATTTATATCTAGGCTATTGGTGTCAAGGTCAGTTAACTCGGGAGTAAAACATTGACTGCCGCCAAAAAAGATGGCACAAACATGTTGAACTCGACATTGTGTATGGGAATTAAACTGTGTAGGACGGAGGACTGCTACAAGGTCTCCGAAACTGGGGCGCGTACGTCGCATCTCCTGTTGGCGCTCTATCCACACACAATAGAATAGTTAAGCAAGTTGTTTGCACGCAGGGTATTGGGTTATGATGCTCCCGCTCTTGCCGATCGGTATAATAAAGTCACTTTCCGTGACTCGGGTTAGTGTCACTCGTTCCGTGAGTTATAAGCACTGGAAGTAGTCTGTATAGCATTGCCTCCTCTCCCTTTCCTGCTTAGGTCACATGTAGACCGCTTGGTGAGCGATTTGAGTTCCTGTCGAACAGATTTACTTTTTGGTTTGAGACAGTCTGTAGAATGCGGTCAACTTAGCTACGTACTATGCTAGCCGCCTGGCGTGTCTGCTCAGATTTCGTTTCCATCGCGGTTGGGCGGCTTCAACGCAGGGTTGCAATGACGCCACTTTCAGCTAGATATACTGGAGCCATTAGCTTGTGCTTATGGCATTGATGCTGAGGATAAGGGGTCCCCTGCCCCATGCGTGCTTCTTAAGCACTGCCATCATCACATTACTCTCATTATAAGTTTGTAAACTGAATTTCTGTTGCTTACTTTATTTTGGTAACTTTCCAGAGAGATGTTACTAAACATTCATGTTCCGTTTGCACTTTCCTGCTAGACTTCACCGATGTCTTGTTCGGAGTGCAAAGAGCGGGAAATTCAGCGCTTGCGTGAGCTTGAAGAGCATAAACGTGCTCTGTATGAATTGGAGAATCGCCTTACCGAGCAATTCAAAGAGGAGAAGGCAATCGCCACGCAAGCCGCATTGGAACAAGCTCAAACGACCATTCGTGAAACCATGGAACAAGAACAGAAACTGGCCTTGGAAGCAGCTGAGGCGAGGTTTGCGGAAATGCTTGTGCAAACAAAACGGAGGCAGTGGTGCCGGAACTGTCTTTCTGAAGCCATATACCATTGTTGTTGGAATACCTCTTACTGCAGCATCCCATGTCAACAAGAGCATTGGCAAAACGAGCACAAGCGCCAGTGTAGGCGAAAACGATAACGACTGCATTTGCGCTTTTTTGTCTACGGTAGCTTGTGCGAATCCTTGTGTATAGTCGCTTTCTGCGGAACTGTTCCTGCGTGCATTCGATTGTTACTGTATTTTACGGCGTTCTCCCGACATCTGCCTTCATTGTGCGTCCCATCCGGACAACTTCGTGTACACCTACAAACTAAGCGAACATTTGGAGGTACTCCTTTTTGCTGTCGTGTTATGCAGTCGCTTGAGATCACGGTTTGAACGATCCGTCGTTGCAGGGATCATCGCTGGATTTTCATTCTGTTGTAAAATATTTTTCACTTCTTCGCACTCCATAATCTCCTTTCCCCATCTTTGTGTCGTTAAGAGCGTCACCAACGCCCTGCCTTCTGTTGTAAATACACCACCGAGGAACTTGTATTTTCTTTCTGTCACTATGTTCTCTGGTGCCTATGTCTCACAGCCAAATGGGAGCGTGTACCGCTCCTTCCACACCCACCCACACACACACATTCAATGAACATGCGCTCCAGCTTTGTACACCACCTTCTCCCTTCACTATTTTTGTTTGGCTGTATTGTTCGCTTTACAGGTATTCTCCCATCCATTTTTGGCGCCCACCAAAATCCTTACCAGTACGTATACATATATGTGCGTACATATGGAAATATATATATCGTGGCATTTATTCGTTGTCTCCTTTATACTCTACAACTGGTTCGTTTGCGACAATCTGTTTTTCCTTAAGTTGGTTATATATTAGACTCTAGCTATTCTCCGTTTCAGTAGTATAAGGACAATTCGGACTCTTCAAATGGACATGCAATCATGTCATCACCGCCACTCCTGTGTGTTTCCTCAGTTCCCATGACTACTTCGAACCTACCTACGCCTTTCTTTTTGGAAGACGCACTCGGTATTGCCCCGTCTGGACTTCAGTTTTGCTTTGACAGAGAGTGCTTTTTGGATGTAAGCCCCTCATGTTGGTGCTCTGATTTTACCTTATCCAATCTGTTCTCGCTCTTCTCCGTCCTTTTGCTGTTTGTTTGTTTGATGATTAGACGAATGCTTCCGCCCATAGTTCAGTATTGGTGCAGTTGCAGACAGCCACCTGCGTAATTCGAGTCTGCAATTTTTAATTACTTTGGAAAGCGTCCCTCTGTTTTGTGTCTAACCCGAGAAAGGCTTTTTGTATCTATGCTCTTGTTGCTCCATCTCTCGAGCACCGTGTTTTCTCTATTGTTCCATGGCCCAGCAACTCGCTCTGTATACATTCCATTTCTCACAACCGCCCATTTGTTCCATTCTCGATTTATTGATGCCCCGATCAGTCTTTTTTTGCATTAGCGCCGACTCGTATCCCTATTGTTTGATTAATTTAAAAATCTCGTACTCCATGGCTACTTCTTTATTTTATTTGTTTGAGGGCATTGGACCCTTAGTGGACAATGGCACTAGGATTGGTAGTCAAATCTTATCTATATCATAGCATGTATATAAATGCCATTCAGAGATACTTTGCAGAAACGAACGTTATCTTTCTCACGGTTTGAGGTTATCTTTGTTCTATTGGTGTACTCGGGAAACCTCGTGTTCATACTAATCTAATGTTCCTTCTTTGTGGTTTTGTTCCCTCCCCCGTCCATTTTTGTCAGCCGACCTTCTCATCCATCGAGTTCATATTGACACAGGACCGACGCGAGATCTCATTAGAAACATCCCGTGATAGCTTGCTGCAGTATTCCAATATTTTAAAGTCCTGTTTAGTCGAATTGATCAACCAGGACTACGCGGATTTTGTCAATTTGTCCACTAATCTCGTCGATTTGGATAAGGGTATTGACTCGATTTCATCGCCGCTAGAGTCGCTTAGGACATCCGTGCTGGTAAGACCACTTATCTGGTGATTTTCACAATTTGTTATTGAAGCTGTACATGTCTGTTCCTTGCCTTCTATTTTTTCCACTTTCGCTTCGCCTAGTGTTGGCTCAACTCATTACGAAAACCACGAGTGTATTTTATTAGAAAGCATTCATATTTGCTGTTTTGATCCCATGTGCAAGTGTTTTGCTGTAACGTGTTTTAATACTGGAAAATTAAATGCCCACTCCGCCTTGCTCATGATAGATTTTTGAGCCACTTACCCTCTGATGTAACGTAATTTCATCGAATACACATTGTACCTTCATCTTCAAGGAACTGATCACGGAATTATCTACTACAGAAAACCGTCTTTCGACAAAGCTACATGAACGTCAGCAACTTCGCGAGAAAAAGGTAAATTTTTTTAGCTAACGTTCAACTGAACTTAGGATCTGAATCGCTTCAACTGGATTTGCAGTTACTTTTATCCGAATTAGGCAATAGGAATGTGTTTTTCGCTTATTTTGCTTCCTTGTTCATTTGATTGCGTGTATATACCTCAGTCACAGCGGCTCTGTCATCTCAGCGCTAGACACTAGTTTGTTCAGTACCGAAAGAATTCAATACGAGTCTGGTCTTCTGCCTAACCACAGTTGTCGTAACCCATGAAACTCTTATGTTTGTTAATCTGTTTCGTATTCATTGGTTAACAATCCAGATAATGTTGCTGACTTCATGATTTGTGATTAGTGCTAGTTGTTACGCTTATCCATGACTGTCAATTTTTTGTGTTCTCCACCCCAACACTTTTGGATGACCGAGGCGCGATATGTGTAGAAAACCAAATGTGTCCGTCTTGCTGTTCACTTCATCTTCACGGACACGGTTTTGTCTTAGTTCCATCATGCTAAATCCCTATATTGATGGACCCACACTTGCATTGTCAGGGGTAAGTTTAATTTTCTGGTACATTATTTTTTATATCCATTAGGTAGGTTCTGTAGGAATTTGTCGGCTAAATAGTGGGGACTATTAATTACTAACCTGCTCGGTTTCGTGCCTTAAACCAATCTGAACAAACTTAAGCACGTTGCTCATTCTCATCGGTCTATGCTCTACAAATGCAATGTCGTCCCATTTTTTGTTTTCCAATACTCTCCATCTGTGCACTCCCCCATTTGCAAGAGGCGACATCACGTTACTCCACTTGTCCAAGCTGGCACCTGGGGGGAAACAGTTCCCGAAAACCGCGTTATCTGCATATCCTTACACCGGCTTACCGCTTGCGGTATATGTTGGTGCATCAATCCTTACTGAGTGAAGGAAGATTGGTTTTCATGATTTCAGAAGGTTTGAATACAAATCGGTTTTGGTAGGGTTTTATTGTGGCAACGTTTCACCCTTGACACAAGAGCTTCTTCAGGCCAGGTGAATCGTTACAAAATTGGCCTAGCTTTTTATGGGAACGTAAGTTGAAGGTTGCAAGAGAGTGATATGCGGGCAAGGAGCTCAACGGACAAACCTCGGATGACTGATGCTGTCTCTGGTGTCAAGGAAAGCTGTACCTTAGTCCTGTTCTGTTCAATATCTACCTTCATTCGATGATGTCTTGTGCTTCTGACGGTGCTTGTGTCCGTGTGGAGCACTGTATTTATGGTGATTCGCTGAACATCCGTCGTTTCGGGGCGAGAACCCTAGGGTGTGTGACAACTATCCGTGTGTTGCTGTTTGTTAACAATTGTCCGTTTTTTGCCCACAGCGCCGACGAGTTTCAGCGCATGACTACGGCTCTCGCTTCGACAACGGACAAACTCGGGCCCACCATCAACATAAGCAAGACTGTTTGTTTTTTCAGCCTTCTCCAGAAGTGGAATCCGTGGATCTGCCGCCAATCCACATTGGTGCTGACGTTTTGAGAACCACCTCGAGATTCTGCTACCTTGTGAGCGTAGTGTCTACCAACCTGATGGGTGAGCTGCGCATCCGCGTATCGAATGCGGCTGCCGCATTTGGCAAACTGGAGTAAGGTGTGAAGACTAACCATTAACTTAGCATCGGAACGAAGCTGCTTGTATACAAGTCTATGGTGCTGTCCGCTCTTCTATACGACGGCGAAACCTGGACATTGTACCGGAAGGATGTCAGATATCTGGAGAGGTTTCATCAATAGTGTCTGCGACGGATATTGCGCAACGGTTGGTACGACAGAGTTGCAGACACGGAAGTGCTGCGTCGCAGTGGCATTTATGCAGTGGGGTGCGTACTTCCGCTGAGGCACCTGAGGTGGCTCGGGCATGTTCGCCACATGGATTCGACGCGAATAGCAGAGCTGCTTTATGCCCAATTGCGTGCCAGGGAACCGGAACTTGGGAAAAAGTAGTTACGTTACTAGGGCATGATCGAAATGAGGCTGTCACGAACTAACGTTGATTTTAGATGTTAGTAATCAAAGGTAGTGGATCGGCGTCAATGGTGTGAGCATATCAAGGGCGCGGTTGTCCAGGTGCATGAGAAATCACTGTTGCGTGTGGAGAGGAAGCGCCGCTTACGGAAGCGGCAGGTGTCAATGGAGTCAATCCCATCGACGTCGAGCGCATAGTGCTGTGGCATATGTGGTCGCGAGTGCATTACCCATGGCGGCTTGGTATGTCACCTGTGTTGCCACGCGGGTCAACATTGTAGAGGAGACCAGTTAGTTGAATAGATAGTCATCCTCAGCTCAGCGTCTGGTAAGTACGCTGCTTCCGATTCAGATTACTAACCCAGGCTAATAACGCAATCGGTGTGGTACGTGTGCTACATCCTCGTTGCCGTTGGTCTGCTTGTGCGCCTGCGAGTTGTTTCTTGCATTTCAGAGGTTGACTGTTGATTGATATTCCAGTTGTGGCTGCGCTTTGTGAAGGTGTCTACCTGTCGAAAAATCGCTACCTCAATTATTCTGGCTCCAGGCAACAATCGGTCATTGCTTGGGGAGACGCGGCGCATGGTTCTGGTGACGACGCTAGGCTAAAGGATTGGTTTCATTCAGTGTGAATCGGACTACGGCCTAGCCACCACCTTGTGTACGTCTGGTACGCGTGATTCTCCAATTAGATCGACCGGAATGCTGTTGTACATGTTGAATGAGTGTGGGCCGGCTCCGTTGATGAGACGGAGCTCCCATCCACATACCTCCCGGTCTTCTTCATTCTGGTTTACACTGGATGTGGGGTGTGCGGATGAAACTATGGGTGGTGCAGCACGAGCCACCCATGTTCCGTCTATTTGCCTAGGTTTCTTGTGGCTTGTCCCATGGAGGCAAATCTGGAATCGGATGCCGCCAACCCTTTATTTATGTATAATAAGTTGGTCTTGTTCAGCTGTTGTGACGTATATTCCGTACTTTTAACTTGTATAATACGTTCCTAACTGTTCTTCTATTCACCTTGGTTGAACATAAGTGAATTTTCTACAGAGCACCGGGAATGTATGCGGTATGGCCTTTCTACAAATATTGCTTTTTCTGTCTGCTTTGTTCGTGGATCCGTCTGCTAGTATGCGATCCCACTAGTCACACTCATTACTATCTTGGACTTTTTTCTATATATCATGCGTCCGTTCTGTCTCATGTTCTGCATCACAGTTTACATCATCCACTGCATCACATTTATTTAACTGAACTATTCTCGAGTCTACCTTATGTCATTTACTTTTAAGCAGTCCTGCTCACTCTGGAATCAACAGCCTAGGCACCAATCTGGTTTATTGTTGTTTTCCGGGAATTCCGTTTTCTTCACTTAAGGTTTTACAACATCTTGCCTACACTCAAATCTTGTACTTATCACTTCGCGCTTGTCCCCTCTTCCATCATACAGGACTTATTGAGTAGTCTGTATTCCGTTGATCAGTGTATTGACCGTTTGGAGCGTTGGTTGAAACAGGATGTCACGAAACCCGCCTGGAAATCGTCACATGACCGCCCATCATTTAGTCATGCAACTGCATTTTCCTCTGACAAACCCAGTGGTTCCGATTTACGAGGCTTCGAGATAGACCTGACTATTTGGCCCCCAGACTTCTACACCGATTGTTCGTAAGTCGGTCGACAATCTTTTACGCACCAATGACTCGTACGTTAGGTTGAGTGGTTAAATGAAGAAAGGCAAACCCTATCACAGATCCTCATTTTCGACCCAGCACTGTTCGACGCGAGTTTTTTATCCTTACTTCTCGAGCACGATTGCTTTGAGCTCACGCGCCATTTTCGATGAGTTCATAAGCCAGTTTGTATGTGCACCCTTGACCATAACTGAACTGCATTTATCCCTTGCCTTTTTCTCACCGTCCTTTACCCTACGTCAACTATTGGCCGTATCCATTTGTGTCCATCTGCTCGATAAGTTGGGAGGTTGAAGTCCGTCTCCTCTCACCCCATCGCCGTAACTACTCTTTGTGGCCTAGTGACAGCCCACTGTGACCTTTCATTTACAACCCATGATATCGGCACTCATTGAGACACGTCTACCTCGGAATTTGTTTCCTGGTCAAATTGGCCCAACCCGATCTGCCCAAACTAAGGTTCCCTTTAGTACTTTGTGTGAGTTTCTCTGCTGATGTACTATTTGCAAGCCCACTTTCTAAGGCACAGATTGACTCTGGTTTGGCCCATCGAAGAAGGAATGACGAAGTCAGTCTTTCTTTGTTTACACGAGGTCGGCGCACATGAGGCTGTAACCATTCCATCCGACCCACTTCACCAGGGTTGGGGTCGGTTGCGTCACTCCAAGTCTTTGTGGTGTGAACCTATGCGGCTAGACTGTGTATCTCATCCACATTGCCAAAAATTGGAACAAGTGTTGTGAAATGTACGCTATCACGTGTCACGCATATGAATTCTGGAGATCAGAGGGCGTAGGAGTGTGGATATACAAGCACCCTTGCTCTTTATTCTACTCCATGGGTTCACTGTTAATCCTCGCCGTACTCGAATATTTGCTTGTTCACCAATGCCGTATCGGGTCAGACCAAGTCCGTGTTGGCCAGGCGGCGTCTTGAGTCGAATTGCAGAATGACTCTTGCTTTTTGACTCTGCGCCACTGCCCCAAAATCTTTGCATAATTGACCGGTTGTCTTCGTTTGAAGTACACGTCATATTTTCAACAATATGACCAAAATGATCCGTTTCATTTGGGTTTCTGGTAAATCTCGCGCATTGTCACTACGGACATAATTTGACCTATTTGTGTACCTACAGCGGTTAATATGTTTACCTCGCACTCATTGTGAGGTTTCTGAAGCGAGCTGCGCCATGCTAATCAGGCGCGATAGAGAGCGCTGAAACACTTCAAGCTACGCTTCGGACTGTTAGACTGGCACAAGCAGAAGTAATATGCCTCCTTTCGCACAATGAGCCCAAAATAGCAGTATAGAAGTTGAAACCTATGTCGTGCAGATTGAGACGATTTATGCCTTTCCTCTGTCACTGGATAATTCGAGTGGGCCGGAGACTGAATCAACTCTCGGCGCTGTACGAAGTGAGGCATCCGCTTCTTGTATTGCATTATCACTGCACCAGTGCACACTGTAGTGCAGCATACACTGTATGATCTTCAACGACGTTAGTGGATCGTGGGCTGAGTTTCCGCCGTGAGACACGTGCTGTTCAACCGTGCTAAAAGCCGTGTAAACGATGCAAAGCCACTGAGTCGGCTGATGGCGCCGGTCATAGTAAATCAGTGTCTGACCTTCCGACCAGCATTGAACTTCGTTGAGATTGATTACTTCGGGCCTTTAAATAGTAAGACGCGACCGTGTGCATGAAAAGCGATACGAATGTTTACTTAGCTGCTTGACTTCACGAGTGGTTCACATCGAGGTTTCTCCTCCCATGGATACCGATACATTTTTGTGTGCATTTTCGAGATTTTTGGCTAAATGCGTTTGGTCGGCTGTCATTTACAGCGATAATGGACAAAAATTACACGGGGCCGAAGCTGAATTACGCAGCCACCCGAGGCAACTGGATCGGGAGAGGATAACGAAGTCTGTGCTGTCACAAGAGATCGGTTAAAAGTTTAATCCTCCTTGCGCTGGCCATCATTGTGGTCTTTGGGAACGACCGATTCGACATGCGAATTGTTGCGTAACATTCTCAACAGCGAGATGGTAGCAAAAGAATTGCTTGTGACGACGCTTGCTAAAGTCGGAAAAAATACTGGGCGACAGGCCTTTAATGAGAATGCCTGATGCATCTGATTCCCACAATACCATCTCCCTATGACAACTGCTGACATTGGTGAATTAGCAACCTCTTGAGAACCCACGATCAACTTACCGATGAAACTGGGCAGAAGAGGGGGACAGATAAGGTGATCAAATGCCGCTCAAGACTACGCATGGCCGATGCACAGAACACAATGCATTATCGTCTGTTCAGTTCCGTCAACCGGGACTCTTTCAAGGACCCAGTTCGTTCAATGAACTGGGTTAACTTCTTTCTTTGTGTCTTCAACAAGCGACGGATCTGTTTTATAGTATACTTGATTTCTGCATCGATTCAGCAATACCACTAAAATGTGCTTACCAAACCAAACCTAAATCCGATTGCAAGGCTTTGAAGGCAGCACAAAAGCTTCATAAGATTCGACAGAAATTCAGGTTAACTGCTGACTTTACGCTATTATTACAGCAGTCCAAGCTCGTCGAACAACAGAGGCATCAGAATGACAAAACTCTCCCTCTAAAAGTGTGTAAAGCTTTGAACGGCCCAGGAAAAACAGCTGAGCTGGCCAAACTATTCCGTGCCTGTGGTTCGCTTTGCAGCAACACTTTTATCACCACACCCGATGGAACATAATACGACGCACCAAGTGATATCTGCGAAGCTTTCAGTGCTTATTTTGCCCAATCAATGGTCTATGAATCATCAGGCACACCAGCATTTATCATGCCGTACAGCAATGAAAGTCTATGCACCGTGGAATTCATTATTACGAAAATCACTGGTCAAATCTCTCTCTTATGCTCCTCAACCTGCGCAGGCCCTGATGGGATACCCTTTGTTTAGTAAATAGCAGTGGTAGTCACTTCCTTCTGCTTTCGCTCAACATGTCTACATCATCTTTTAACAACGGAGTATACCCTACTCAATGTAAAACTGTCGTTATCCCGCGACACAAAAATGGCACCGCCCACTTTAGTCCCATCAATCACACACCCATCGTATTTAGGATAATGGAAAGGATAATAAAGATGAACTATTTGTATTCTTGAACAAGGTTAACATCATCAGCAATTCGCAACATGGCTTCGTGCAAGATCGATCCTGCGCAACATGCCAGACAGACTTTTTAAACCACACAACGGCTGTCATAGACAATCGAAACAGTGTTGTAATCCTGTTCCTGGATATAGAAAAAGCCTCACAGAACGTTACTGAACAAACTGAAGGCTATAGACATTGAAGAACCGATGTTTTCTCGGCTGTCTTCGTATCTAATTGGTAGACGGCAGGTGGTGCGCATCGGCGACCATTTCTCTAAACCGAAAGCAATCATCAATGAAGTGATTCAACGGAGTGTTCTTGGTCCTCTTCTTTTTCTAACATTAACAATATATTCCAGAGAATAAAAAATTGGTGTTACATTTATCCTTGCTGATAACATTAAAGTTGTTTACTCACAACCCAGGAAGCCGTACGTCTCGTTCAGGATGACTTATCTGCCCTTGACTCCTGGTGCCAACTGTGGCAGATGTCATTTGTCATGAACAAGTGTAATATTTTGTCGTACAAATGCCAAGTATCGCCAGACAGTTTATTACTACAAGGCGCATATATCTTGCAAGGCATGACAGTTAGCGACTTAGGCGTGCGATATTCAGTCACGTCTAACTTTTCTGAACATTGTGATTTTCAAGTTTCGAAAGCCATGAAGACCATCGGTTACATCTGCCATCATTTTTACCTCACGGAATCTTGCATATCGCTTTACAAAACATGTGTATTGCCGTGTATGGAATCCTGTTTAACGGTACAGTCTAATCTGCGGAACGCTGACCAGCATGCTCTTGAGAGGGTCCAAAGACACTTCACGAAAAAGCTGTGAGTATTCCTCAAAGTTGACATACAGAGAGCGATGTGATAAACTTGGATTTGACCCATTTTGGCTTCGGATAATGAAGCTGAACCTGTTCTCTTTACAGAATCATAAACCGTCAAGTTCGCAGTCTTGATAACGGTGTTCACATATCTGTAAACAACAAATGTCGAATCTGTAACAAAGAGATAAAGGTCATGATTCCAAAATTTACTACGAGAATCAGAGAACATTTCTTTTTAACCCACTACTCAAAGATTTGGAACAAACTTCAAAGTGATATCAGAACGTGCTACACACTTTGCAATTTTAAGCTTGCGATGAGTAAGCAGTTAACCGTCCAAAACGTGATTAAAATGTTCGGGACATCACAGTCCCTAGATAACGATTCGAAAACGATATCGATGGTGTCTAAATAAATTTTCGAAACACATACCCAGGACATTTCGGACAACAGCCCCTTTCATTTTTCCTTAGCCCAAACATCTGTCATGTGATTGTGAAGAATCCTGGTCCAATAACAGGAAAAAAATAGCAGAACAATTCTGATTATTCTGTGTTACCTAATTTGCAATTACACCCATGTTTATTTCTGAGAATGTGTTAATGCAATGTCATGGAAAGGTTGTTCCATTATTTGATCTGTTCCTTCTAGGAAACAGCTCGCATCGTCGAGGAATATACAATTTATTTATTTATCTTACCAATATGTTTTGGCGTAGATGGACTAGTCAGAAGATGGACTAAGCAGAAGTGGTGAACTAACATTAGTTTATACAGGATGATCCACTTCTAGTTTGATTTACGTCCTTCAGAAGATTTTTCGCCGTAGTGGAAATCATACGAGGACCAGCTGTTAAAGCAAGCCTTGGTCATGAGGGAAAGCAAAAGTATACTGCGAAGGGACGTCAAGAAGCTCTGGGAGCCATTGAAGCGGACAGAAGACTGCCGGGGAGTGTAATGGTCAGATAAAACTGTGATTCCTCAGCCAAACTAAATTGTCTATTTGAGAGTATGGTACACCAGTTCCCAATATCTTTCCTTCTGTACAGAAATTTACACATATATGCCTGGAACATCTGCACTATTACATATTTAACGATTTTACTACGCGCCATTGGCAATCCTATTCATAAGGTGTTTACTCTAATTTGAGTTATAGAACAAAGGCAACGGAAATTTACGTTTTATTTTACTGCTCAGCTTGTCTAGTATGAGTTCATTGGTTTGCAGTTTTTTATCCTGTCTCGTACGGTTCACTCAGCCTAGACTTTGCAGTCGCATCATCACCCATGGTCCAACCCTTTGCGAAGGCGTAATGTGGCTCTTCGCGGTCACAGTGAGACAAAGCAGAAACTGGTATCACCAACCGCTATCTATTTCGAACAGTCCTTTGCCTCAAGACGGTCGAGGATTATTTACAAATCGCTATGGAACGTCGTTTGATCTCATTTCAAACAGGAGCGACGTCAAGGCCGTTCTCGTGAAATTCGGCCTTTCTCTGCAAGGAACTGTGATTCATCCACCTCATTCTACTAAGGGCATAAGAATTTATAGCGTGACAAGATTCGCGGAATTGCTAACGTTCTCCTGTGCTTTTGCTTTAGAGTTCTCAGTAGCCATGTTCCGCTGTCTCTCCCCTCTCATCTTAGTTGAATCGGAGCGATTCGCGTTTGTATATCTCATAGAGTTGAAATTTCCCGACGAACAGCATATCTTTCTGCTAAAGCCGCATGGTACGTGCATTGTTTGCCAAAAACTAGCAATCCTCCACCAAGTGTTGCTATTCTATCATCACCAACTGCCGCTGATACTGCTTTACTATGTTCTGTTATCTACACACATCATGCTCACCTCTCGATTTAGTGTTCAGTTAACGTCTGGCATTGCTTCCCACCAGATTACTTATGACTGCAAAGGTTCTTTCTTTTTCAGAATCATCCGCATGTGCTCCTGCGTCGCGCATTCTAGTCGCACTCTGTTGTACTTCACTTTCAGTTGCCACGGCCTGATTCTGCTTTGTAGGATACCATTGAGACTACAGGCAGTCGTCAACTTCCCAGTTCCTTTACCATTTCGTCGTACACTCCACGACGCAGATATAGAGGTTACGCTGGATTGTGCGGACAACATCGTCCTGCTACCCAGTGATTGTGGTACAGCTCAGCCAACCCTACTAAAACGGTAGTGATTCTATCCTTTGGCATACACTTTGCACATTCAGAGCGCAGTTATTTTCCGAGATCAGGAACCACTTCGTTGTCTTCGACAATTGCCGATGGGAAACTGTGAGGAAGGATTTCTGACTGCTCTAGTTAGTTCAAGTATCGCAGCGGCTGAAAATAATAATAATGTACCAGCTGTACGCCGTAACGGCGCTTCGCTGCCGCGCGACCATCATTAGTCGCGGGTGAGCTGAGTATACCACGAGGACGCCCCACCCCTACACAGACTCAAACTGGTGACCTTATGATTGCAACCCAGGCGTGCAGACCACTCGGGCACCGGCTGACTGAAGGTGTATTCATGAGTCTGCGACACCTCTATCAGGAGGGTTTTCTTCGTACACATGACCAGAATAACCGCACCCGCTTTAACAGAGCCGACGCTTGATCATCTCTGTCTGGAAGTCTCTAGTACCTTTGTTTGTTTGGCTGCTATTTCGCCATTGAACTGCACACCGATTGTCTCTTGTAACTTAGTCATTCCACAAATAGCAAATAGCTGATGAGAATACACGAAACGGCTGAATTCATTTCATTCTGTTGCTTTATTAAAGCATCCCAATTGCCCCACCAGTTATGCTTTTTTCGCATTTCGTTTCTAGAGCTAGCCAGATAGCCAAATGTTAGTTGTCACTTTTCCATCCTCATGGCATGTTACTGGACCGAATCCCTAAGACTACCACTAAATCGTGTCGTCTGAACCTTGAGCGCCGCGGGCGTCACTTGTTTTTGCCTCCCATTTCGCACAAGTTGTCTCTGGTGTGTGCACCCTTAGCTTATTGATTGTCCTCTGCTCGAATGAACTACTGCTGTTCTCGTATACTTTGCAGTCTACAAGAAGACCCTGGACTTCGCATCGAGCGAGTGGCTAGTGAGTATGGCAGACTGCAGTTTTTCTCCAAGAGGTGTCAGAATCACCCGCTCGTACAATCGATGAGACCGGTAAGCTGATTCAGTTTCCAATAACTCATGAATTTCTGCTTTCAGTTCATAAGTTTACTTGAAGCATAGGCGCTTCAGCAACAATTGGACTTCCCTTTGACCAAATGGCTTACAACTTTGCCCTTGTCATCGCAATGAGTCCAACACGTGACGTAGGGTAACGTCTGATTCACTGTGCTGTGTTAGGTGGCATTCTGCCGGTTTTTTCAAAGCAATCTGATCGATGGTTTCATATCAAACGCTCTGTCTCGGAACCCTCCCCATAAGTTTGAGTGACATCAAGTCAAGTCAGTATAAGCTTTATCTACTCAACTGGGTGCATTTTCAGCATTTTACATTACCAACTGTAAATCTACAAAGGGTTACGATTAAAAATACCAAGTTTATAGATGGGTATCAAAATGAGAATTGTACAGTTATAACTCGATCAAGCAACGATCGCGTAACGCTTCACTATATCCTCGGGATTTGCGTCCATTCAAAAGGGTAAAGTTCCATTAAAACATCTGTTCATAACTAGTTACAGTTGACGTAAAATTTGATGTCCAAAGATCGTGCGCGATATCTCAGTGTTCGTATTCAAAATGCGGATTGTGTAGATTGGTCACAGTGACCTTGGACTGTTTCAGAACATATCTGTCAGCTCACCAGTGTCGTGAGGCAGCGTTGGCCACAGCATCCTCTTCTTGTTCAATTTCGCTATGGACGAAATCTTAGAGAGTGCTCTGGAGAACTGCGAACCCAGCGGCGTCGAGCTGCTTCCGGGGACCGACTTCGGGACTTGGAGTATGCAGATGACATGGCTGTAATCTGTGATTCCTCACAGGCCGCCCAAAACGTCCTGCGTAGATTGGAGGTGTCTGTCTCCCGGTTTGGAATGACCTTGGCACCACCGAAGTGCAAGGTCTTCCTGCAAGGATTGGCTAGGTGCTGCTCCTACCTTTACCCTTCAAGATCATTCATTGGAAGTGGTGGACAAGTTCCTTTATCTCGGAAGCTGTGTCAGGATTAATGGTTTAACGGATGTTTCTTTGCGCATCTCCAAGGTTCGGGTTGCTTTTGCCAATGTCCGCCATCTCTGAGTCTATCCCTAGAGGGCCGAGTTTACAATGCCACAGTGAGAGAGCTCCATGACCGTTCGCCTGTTTGCGCAAAGGATGTTGAGAGCCTGTCTGTTTTCGATCACTGCTGCCTGCGGAGCATTGCTGGTACACCAGAAACATCACACTAATGAGGATGTTCGCCGAAGGATTTTCAAATCGTACAGATTTTGCCGGCCGCTGAGCAGAATAATTTCATTGCATAGGTTTCGGTGGCTTGGGCACGTGCTTCGCATGTCTACTCATCGTTTACCTCGCTGTGCTCTCGTTGCGTGCGCAGCGGTTGGCTGGAAGCGAAAGCAAGGTGGCCAACGTATGACTTCGGCCAAGAGCATGAAGGCGCTAACATCAAAGTTAGCTGCGGTCGGGTGCTCTCGGCTCCCTGGCCGGAGTGTGAAGGATCCGGAACACGCATGGCTGTAAACACTCGGATTTGGCAATAAACCGTGCGCGACAACTGACTTGTTGTGACTCTCTATTCCCATGAACATTGTTTTTGTCCTCTCCGTGTGATGGTATGTTGTTGACAACGTGTAGGCAACTTGGCCCAGGGCATGAAAGTTTGCCGTAGGTCCCCTCCTCTCCCTCTGATGGTGATGATGTTGGACGTCTGCATCGTTCTTTGTATCCGTCTTTGATAACACAGTCAACATCACGTCTTCTGCCATCGAAAAGTGTACGTATGAGAATTCGCCTTGTCAAGGTAGAGAAGAGCGCGTGCACCTTTTGACAGAAAGGTGGACTGGATTGTTGCTGATCTAGTCTCTTTGTTATACCGTACGAGGAACCGAGGATGGGCTGACGATAATCCTTAATCATGCATGTGAGTTGCGATCATCTCCAGATTTCATTGTCTGTGTACGTACTGGATTACAGGAAAGTCACCTGTTGGCCCAACCACTGCCAAAGAAAAACAACGATCATTTTTGGCCACTGCAGAGAGACAAATCGGACATCTCGGCGTACCTTGCTTACTGCGTGGAGCTTAGAAGTCGACTTCCGATGAATCCGTATAGAGAATTTACGACGCCGTGAAATTCCACTGACCCTTTTCTGAAAGACAACCACATGCTATTATGATTGTCATCTCAATGAAGTTGCAGCGCGTCTTGTGTACGCGTGTCGCTGTTCCAGCACTTAGCGCGTGCAAATGTATGGTCTTTGCTTTTCATATCGGCGAATTTTAAGTTGGATTTGAAATTGATTAGACATTCTCGATCCTAATCGAATTACTGTGGTATGACACAACTGAGACTGCGCAAGGTTACGACACCTCAGTAGTTTCCTCATATGGTGGTAATAGTAATCTCAACAGTCAGAGTGGATAGGTCGACGACTGTTGAGCAGTCTGGCTTTCTAGCAGTAGCCAGATACGAATACTGTTCGTGGTGGTAGTTGGGGAACAACAAAGGTTTTTCAACATGTTACTTATTCAGCTGTGACCAGATCGAAATCTCAGAATCAGCAACACGTGCACCTGTATTATGCTAACTAGCGCCCCCGTCGCCCGTTGTTATGAATGCTAAGGCGTGTGCATCGGCCCAGTGTGACCACACCCAGACGCGTGTAAGCTGTTCATCCTCCACGCTGAAACAATGTGCTTGGCTTCACAATGTCGCTTGAAATCGCACTCTGTGAAGTTGAAAAATCGAACCTACTTGGAACGTCAGTTGTCACGTGGATGAGTACATTGCACCTGATGTGTGATAAACAACTCATCCGACAACCTTTTCCTGCTTACCGGCGATTTCCAATCAACTATTCCAATATCACCCATTACCTCTCTGCGACTGCTTTCTGTCTGTCAACCCTTGCGCGGATTGATTGGTCCACACAATGAAGCGGACCATGGTTACCGCAAACAATTATTTTGCCTCCTCCGATATGTGTCTTCATGTGACCAGTACCAGTGATTATTTTCTGGGCTCATCGACCTGAATTTTGAACAGGGCACTTAGTGGAGCAAACACCATGGTAACCAAAGAAGTGACCGCGTAACACCTGGTTTAAAATCGCCCGTTTTCCCTTTCTCAATAATCGAAATACTCTTGCGAGCTACTAGATAGGTGATAACTAATCTACTGAAAAAGCATAAACCTCGGGCACTGGAAGCTAATATTGTTTTATTTCGTTACGTTCGAAACTTACTAGCGTATAACCATAATAATTGCTTCAATGGTTCTACGGATCCATTCCTGCTTGCGTCCCCACCAAGCGAAGTTTATTCGGTCTTGCGAGTTGCTTTTTCAAGTAGTTCCGTGTTGTGTCCGTTCGTTCATAGCAACTATGTGGTCTCCAGCACTGCTGCCTTCTGTATATGATTTTCTTGGTACGAGGCTTTTAGTGCTCGAATCTCGTGAACCAATACGGCACGCTATCTCGTGGCTTTACATCATTAGTCCGCTGCACTGAATTGTGAGTACACGATTATTGAGATCGCGAACACTTCAGTCTCTAGTAATTTAGACACTATTGCACTATAAGGGAACCCCATTGATGTCTCAAACGTGTCTTATTTTGTGTACATTGTCGATGGTGTTGAGTTACGTTAGTTCATCTACCAGCTAGGCTGCTATAGTCATTTGGAAGTGCATGTGATGCTTGATGCGTTAACTCTTACACTAGGCATGTTTTTGTGGCGGAGTCACCGGCGGTCCATGCGGTATTTTCCCACATCATCATTCCAAATGGCTTAAATAAACACCACCTACTCAGTCCGTAGATCCTGTTTTATTCTTTACGAGGTGCAGATGAGTTAAGTATTAGAGAACCCACGTCTAGGGTCCATTTGCACACTTTTTGTGATACAATTCCGACTCTCCATTTCGCTGCGCCCCTTTGTTCACAACGTGTCAGTGAAGTTGATGTGTGCACCACGCGTCCTTCCTGGCACGATTTTTACTATTTTCTCGCGCCTCGTTTCCATACACACTACTCATTAGTAGTGCGCCACAGATTTATTAGGGCGGATCGATACCTTTCCGGCGGAACCAGCTACCTGCTTTAAGCAAAATCGATTGACCAGGTTCCAAACTAGCGGAGGTTGCCTACTAAGTTGCGTTTGGACGTAACACATGTTTGGGGAACTCCGAGTTTACCAAAACGCCTCCATTTTGGACCAATAAAATATGATAAGGATTCGAGCTGACTAGATTGTGTTTTGTCAGTGTACTGATGAACATGCATTCTTTTCATCAACATCTCTGCCTTCTACTTTTCCAGTTGGATTGGTAACTTTTGCGAAATAACTTGATTGCAATAACCGGAATCGCACGCTTCCTAAGCCATCCTCTAAGCGACATCAGTTCCGTTAAGGAATGTTTTCCCCTAACGTTTCTTGCTCAGTATCACGTAACTATCTTCCATAAGATCTTTGTACAACCCAACCTGAGTCTAACTACTCGAGAGTTAATCAAGCTTAACCAGTAAGCACACTAACTGTTTCTGGAATTTATGCAAACAAAAAAGACTCACTAATATTATTCGTTCGTCTCCATAGTGCGAGTCATTTACGTACAGCTCACGAGTGCATTGGTTATTGTCACAGTTGTTGTCCTGTGCTTCGGTACGTTGTCTAAACCGGATTTATCACTACCCGTGTCTGATTACGTATTAACGCAACTGAGCGCATTAAGTCAGCGAATGAGGATGCCGTGAGGCAAAACTTCTCTAATACAACTTATCTTCGAATAACGCCGAACTACTTTTCTGTCTTACTTCCCCGTTCATTAGAGAATCCATTGGATCACGTCCACGTTAATGGAACAGTTGGAAGTTTGGCTCCAAAAATCCCTAGATGCTGCACAACTAACTTCCACGAACAAGAGCCCTGTAATTTCAAAAGCATACGGCGAACAACTACGTCAGGCTGTATCCACTTATCTGATGATTGACAGATCGCCGGATGTCGTTCAATTGTATCGGCGACACGTACTGCGGCCAAAACTGGAAAAAGTATGGAGATGAGAAACGCATATCTGGTGTTATATCTATGCGTTCTATATGTGCAGCAAGTATTGTGTTACTGGTATCCTTAGAGGAAGGTCCGCTGGGGTTTTCATCCCCACACGTTTATATTGTGGTGACCAGTTATTTCAATTCCTTACTCGTTAAGTCAGTTTGTTTTTGCAGTTTAATTCAACGTCCTTTAGTGGCGTTTTCGCATTGATTGGCTGAGCTACTCCATCGAGCCTCAGATACCGCACTTTAGCCTTAATGGCTAATTTCTCATTTACAACTGTAGACGTCTTTGTACGTAGTTCGCTGTGACTACTTCGACTTAGTTTTGTTGTATCGCCACCAACCGCTCCCACCCCATGACCGCAATGAGAACACGGAAGAAGAACTATGACGAACTAGTATACATGGAAGCGTCTGCCTCGCAACCCGGAGGTCGCGGCCTCGAGTCTTCGTAGGGGATTGGGTGATCCTCGCATTATCTTTAGTCCACGCGTGACTGGGGGTTTTGCGTGGCAGCGAAGCGTCGGCACGGCGTACTGCTGGTACCTGTATACACATGAATACTACTTCGTTTGTACAAGATACAACAGTGGTAGACTTAAAGCTACTAAAAGATCTGGACCAGCCAACAACACGTTGGCGAATGAGAAGCGCTGAAAGTAAAAACCAATCGCATGTCTGAAAGGACGATGTTAAGGGAGATTGGACCCTGAGATTAAAAACGTATGCCGGCCAATCAGATTAAAGAAATGATGCGTTTAAACAAATGTCCGAAGACAGGTGATAGCATCATGATGGCCGGTAGGTAAGAATGCTCACAAGCGGTGCGTCCAACAGGCATCCTTCTGACAACTTCGTTTATATTCCCATTTACCTATGCGAATAAAGTCTCATTTACTTCTTACCTTACAGGTGTTCATTTCCCGCTCAGAACTATCCTGTAGTGGTTCAGATGTCGAAAAGGCGAGTGCTGCTCTGAACGAAATGTACACTGAAGCTTTGGCCATCTTGGATCATCAGCTAGAAGTGTTCCGACAACTCAGTTCTCAACGTGCTCCCGACAGGTTAGTGCGAGAATATCTCCGTTAAGTCTCGTTCACTCTTGTGTACGCTCTCTCGTTTAAAGCTCTTTTCACATTCAGTTATGATCCCTTAGCAGAGTTCGACTATCTCGTCGATGGATTCTGGCCAGAAACGGTCGAACTGCTCATCCACAACGCACCTGACATATTTACGTCTGGTTATCCGGATCGATTTCACAAGGTTAGTTTGCTGTTCCCTTTTGTTTAGTTTCCAGCCGCACATATTTCACGTGCTATCGAATAGTCGTTTGGTTTTCCATCAATTTTTCGCCGATCTTCCACCGATGGCTTAGTCAGTATTCACAGGCCAAACCAACTTACAGCCCCTCCAACATTACTGCGTGGAACGTGTATGTCGAGAGGATGGATGGAAAATGGAGCACACGATCGCAGTGCTAATAGTGAGCTCCAAGGCACACCCTAGTCACCGGGCGTGAACTCCTCTTCCACTATACTAGACCTACTGGTTGCTTATTAATTTACATTTACAGTCATGTGCAGCTCCACCTCACACAACTTGCAGCTATGATCCGCCACGACAAACCATTTTTGAATTTGCTGTTTGTGAGATTGAGTTGATAGATGAATCTGTCATTTAACAACTGTGGCGCACTCTCAAGACAAATCCATGCCAACCTCTTGTTTTTCCACTTCCTGCAATTCAGTTGTACAACGAGAGTCAAACCTTCTTGAACCAACTGGAATCGAGACTGGAAACGGCTGGACGAATTCGCAACTTTCGAGGCCATCCAGCCTACAGCCAGTTCTCTAGTAAATGGAGTCTACCCGTTTACTTTCAAATCAGGTAAGCCATTCTGCCAGCCCTTCTGAGGCTGCCTTGCGCTCCACTTCATTTAATAATGAAAAATGTGGGTTGTTTGTATTGATCTTCACCTTTTTCACTCCTGCACACGGCGACGTTCTGAACAGACCCAGTTGTTTCTTTTCGTTTGTGTTAGCAATTCTTCAATTTCAGTCACTCGGCTATTTGAGTTTTCATGCCTACGAAACTCCTTCAGGTCGACCGGCGTGATATGGAAGGCTTGATCAACCGAAGGAATTCACATATGGGTCATCACAGCGGTAAACACTGCAAAATTAACTGCTTAGCCGTCCAACATAATCGGGAGACTTGACGTGATCGCATGCTTCCCTTGCTAGCCTACAGCACAAAGGTTATCCTTCATTTCCGGATTCGCCAATAGCCAAACTGCCGAACTAGACCGAGCAACCTTTATGTGAAGTATGACACTATCTATTAAGTAGAGACAAAATGCGCACAGAAATACTGTTGACAATGGATTCTCTACTAGTTTGAGCGTATCTCGTGTCGTAGAGATCTGACTGCTCTAAGTCTAATACAACTATTCCCCTTTTTTCGAACTCACAGGTTCCAGGATATCGCTGGGACTGTAGAAAATGCGATGCACATTGGCTTAAACTCTGCTTCGTCCGATTCATTAGGTAAGTCTTATGCCCAAAATGCCTCGAGTTTCCTTGTTTTATACCTTCTTTGTCGATGATTGATTTGTTTTCTCCGTTATTCTTCCCCCAGACTGTCGCCTACATGTCACCGCAGTTCTAATTGAGCAGCTGGAGCGATGTTGGATGGACGGTATCTACCTAAACAGCTTGAGACATCGGTTTTTGAAACTAACGCTGCAGTTGTTCAACCGATACGCCAGCTTCGCGCAGTCCCAAATCGACAACCTTTTAGCCAAACAAGTAACGTTCAAACATTCCCACCGTTCTCGTTTGGCAGTTTATTATTGAGGAAATAAGTATCTCAGAAACGCCCTAAACATGATAATTACCATGCACGAACAATCCGGTGGCTCCAACGCGTTTAACCTGCCCGAGAATTCAGACCTCTTAAAGCACAAATTGGCAGTACGGGTGCTTATCATTCCTCACTCTTTACTACGTCAACTTGACCACCTTTTCTGGATGAATCAGCCGGTTCCTCCGGTGAGCTCCCCGTCCCACAGCAAATCGCTTTATCGGGTCTTATTTTCTCATTGAAATCTCTCCATTCGAATCGGGTTTATTTTATGAAATAGTTAAACTTGTGGGGGGTTTCGTTTACTTTTCTGATTCCACTGTCTGACTAGTACTTCCCAGTCGGTTGCTACTCATTGCACACCTGAGTGTACCGTGCTGAAAAAGGTGTCGCCGAAAAGTACCACCGCCTTTCTGGTCTTTGGTCATGCTTAGTGGCTTCACCCAACGAAACCTTGGAACAACTGAACCGATGGTTGGGAGCGAAAGCTAATGCAAAGCCTCACTGATCAATCCATTTCTCCTGTTTTATAAAGCTTCCCACCACACCCTATGTGAGTAACTTCGCGGTCTCAATATGGGACAACTGCACGCACCGATTTCGTCTAATCTTCCAATCCTCACACATCTGCACATTCCACTGCACCCCATAAGACTTCACACTGTCGAGCATATTTCCGGTAAATACGGTGTACCGAGCTTTACGACCAGTAGACACACGAAGGACGCTAGGTTAGTCGACTTTTATTTGCGCTCTCTTCACTGTTCTTATCTTTACATCACTCTGATAAAGCGAGCAACAGTAGCGGTATCCATCGCATTTCGGTGCGCAGACCCTAATTGAACAACAAAAATGGATTCAACTGGATACGTCTTCATTTATCAGGCATTTAACTTGTCTACCCTCACCACAACTGCTTCTTCCCCGTAGCAAGAGAATAGTTGAAGCGGCTCAAAGTCACTGCGTAGAACAGTTTAGCGATGCATTCTTTTCAGCCTTTTATTATCTTCCTCTTGTTCACATTCAGAGAGGCTTCGTCTGTCTTCTCCCAGGACTCTGCCGCACTATCTCACTCCGCCTTTACTGAAAATGTGGACAAGCTGATATCCTTGCTCATCGACTGCCATCATCTATCAGCTCATGCTCGCAACAAATTGCCCAAGGTTATTCTGGCGGCACTTGGGTCCGTTCCGAACGCTGGCGCCTCTAGTCGAACAGTTTGTCCTGCTATGTTGAAGGATTGTTTGGATGAATGCGCCCGCCGCTTAGTCAGTGTGGTGGCTCCTCTCAGTGATGCAGTGTTGGAACTCGTTAAGGTATTTCAAATGTCTTTATTACCACATCTTTCATATATCAAATGTCTCAGGTGATTGTTTCATTCGGTAGATCAGCCGAAGCTTCTAGTCCACCGAAATGCCAGTGTGTAGATGTGCGCAACAGCACTGTAATGCTGATGACCATTTCACGTTCCCCCTTGTCTAGTTGACGGCATCCTTTTCCGGAATCGCCCGTCACTGTGACTGCAAGCAAACCTCTGCACCTATAGAGAGATTATGGGTAGCTTACGTTGCACAACGCACAGCTCCATCCACACACCCCATATCCAGTGTAAACCCGAAAGAATAACACTGGGAGGAATGTGGATGGGAGCCACGTCACATCAACGGAGCCGGCCCACACTCCTTCAACATGCACATCGGCAACATTCCAGTCAGTCGAATGGGGGAATCATGCGTACCGGACGTACACAAGGCGGCGGTTGGGCCGTAGCTCGTTGCACCCTGTATGCATGGAACCAACAAGGACGGTGCACCCCGTCCCCCCAGCAACCGTTAGCAGTCTCATGGGACCAGTAATCGAGGTGGAGGTTGTTAGGCACCTTGTCAACATGCACATCAAGCGTAGCAACACCGGGGATATCAAACAACCAACATCGAATTAAGGGGAAGCAAACACAAAATTGACACGGAATATGCAGCATAATAAGAGAAATGAAAAAATCAAATAAAGTGGAATACCTTTTATCCAAATTAAGAAGCTCCAGTTTAAGCGTAAGTCGGTGTAGCCCAATTGCGATGAAGGGGCATGCAACATCAACCTCAGTATGAAGCACGAGTCCATATTTATTTTATATTAACGATTTTTTGTTGTCCTTGGGCTAGCGCTTTGCACTGTTTGGCCGTCACTTTCGCACGCCTCGAATGGCCGTTCTCGTGTAACTTGCATTTTACAGCCCTCGTGCCTAGAAACCAGTCGCCAGATATCAGACATTCCTCGTCAATATCGGAGAACGAACCGCGCCTATCCGAGTGCCCCATCTAATTACGTGACCAACCTGATCTCTCCTATCATTCACTTGGCCGGATCGAACGCCGGTATCAAAGATGACAGTACCAGCGAAGCATTAGAGAAACTCACGCAAACATGTATTGAGCAGGTGGCAAACGTGTGAGTCTCTTGTATTTTGATATGGGATAGCTCATTCTCGAACAATCGCATCGTTAAAGTAGATTAACGGTTTCGCACTCACCAAAATGGGGCAGCAGCTCATCTGGACTTCTAACTGCAAGCACTCATTCTCTATCTTCTCGTTAATGACGCGGCATTCTCTCACTGCAGTTTTGGATCTCATGTATAATCGCTGTCGCAGTTCGTTTATTTTGTGTGGCTCTTTTTGGAATTCGGTTGCCAAGCTTCGCGACATAATTACCGTATTTTCCGGACTATAAGGTGCACTTAAAATCCTTATATTTGCTAATGAGTCGGCAGTGTGCCTTATATTCCTGTGCGCCTTATGTATGAATGCTTGTGCTGAGGCCTAGTGACCTCGAATCAATTTCTATGTTCACACTGCGCTGAAAAATCTGTCAAAATGTTTTATTACAACTTTGATTGTCGAAGCATAATCACTGGTCAGGAACCTCGTGGAGTCAGCTTTCTATGTTGTCAAGACAGACTTGTTTTGGGGGTAGCGAACTCTGTGCAGTAGCCAACTGATTCGAGCTTTTCTGGCGACGATAAACCAACCAACTATTCAACCATCCACACTGATTTCCCATATTGTGATATATGTGATAGTTACTCCACCCAGTTGTGCCCTATGCTAGGGCTGATGTCGCATTCATGGTGCTTCTCCACCGCGGTTGGGCTAAACCAACTTACACTTAAACTAGGTCTTTTCAAGCTGGAAAAATTTCATTCCACTTTATTTGGTTTATTCTGCCTAACTGAATAATCTTTTATTAACTGGCCACTTTGATTACGCTAATTATGGTTATCTTCGTTAACTTTATTGCGTTTGTAGCATTTTTTGAGTAACCTCTGGACATTTTGTACTTATCGCGGATTGATTGCTAACTAACCTACTTCATATGCTAATTTAGGGAAGAGTTATGTCTGCATAGCGGTATTCTTTGACAGATATACTTTATTTGATAATGTTATTTCAAGTGATTGGCTATTGCTTGATATCCCCAGTGTGGCTGCGCTTGATGTGCATGTTGACAAGGTGCCTACCTGTCTATTATCCACTACCTCGTCCATACTGGCTCCAGGAGACAGTTGGTCGTTGCTGGAGGGGACGGGGTGCACGGTTCTTGTGGTCGTGCTATGCTCGAAGAGTGGTTCCATGCACTTAGTGTGGAGCGGACTACGGTCCAGCCACCGCCTTGTGTGCGCTTGATTCCCAAAGTACAGCGTGCTTGTGTTTGCCTGTGAAGGAGTGTGGGCCGGCTCCGTTGATGAAACGTGGCTCCCATCCACATGCCTCCCGATCTTATTCCTTCGGGTTTACACTGGATATGGAGTGTGTGGGTGGTGCAGCGCAAGCCACCCATGGTCCCTGTGTAGGAGCAGGCGTCCTGTGGCTGGCCACAGTGGCAGGCAAATCCGAAACTGGACACCGCGACTCATACACCACCCGGAAAACTCACAGTGCAACACTGCACCTTGCAAACATTGTCCAAAGTGCGCACCTGTATCTCGCTGGTTGCAGTTGAGTGTTTTGTATACACGATCTGCGCTCACACCAGTGTTCCAAAGACTGTGGTCATCCAGACAGTCGGTGACGACCATGTGAGCTTCACTCACATCATCGTCCAAACTGTGGTTTTCGGATAGACAACTGGAATATACGTCGTCGTGCTGTACTACGGAGGGAGTACCAGTGCAGTTACAGGAAAGTGCGTGATAACATATAATCTGGTCAACATTACGAGGTCAAGCACGATAACATTTTTCAGCGGCAGTCGCATGCTGTCGATCAAGAAGAAGCTTGTTCGCTTACCCCTTCCACTTTTCCTGATACATACTGTGCTTTAACATACCGGAAATTGAGGACCTCAAAATGATACCTTACGGAGGATTTCAAACTCAAGGCCATCAGCCACGCAGTAAAACATGGGAATAGAGCAGCTGCGAAACAACTCAACATTAATGGATCAATGGTACGGAAGTGGAAGTAGCAAGATGACATGCGTTAAGTAAAGAAGACAAAAAAGTGTTTCCGAGGGAACAAAGCGAGATGACCACAGTTAGAGGACAAAATTGAGCAGTGTATTACTGAACATAGAACATCAGTCTCCATTCGATTCAAGGCAATAGCGATGACACATGAAATGAAGACAAACGACTTTGAAGGAGGTCCTTCGTGGTGCTTCCGTTTCATGAAAAGGTATCATCTCTCCATCCGCACAAGAACTACCACCTCGCAGCAACTGTCAAAGGATTACGAAGAAAAGTTGGCCATCTTCCGCACTTACTGCAAGAACAAGATCATCGAAAAGAAGATCCAGCCAGACCACATCACAAACATGGACGAGGTTCCTCTCAGCTTTGACATCCCCGTGAACCGTACTGTTGAAAAAACAGGGACCTCTACTTGGATCTATACGCACCACGGGGAATGAGAAATCATCCTTCACTGTAGTTTTCGGTTGCCACGCTAAAGGCCAGAAACTACCACCCATGGTTATTTTTAAGAGGAAGACTCTGCTAAATGGATGGGCGAGGAGAAAATGAGCGAATGGCTGAGAGAAGTTTACGTCAGGAGACCGGATGGCTTTTTCCACACATCTCCGTCCTTATTGATCTACGACTCCATGTGCGCCCATCTCACCGAAACTGTCAAACGCCAAGTGAAGAAAACTAATTCGGAGCTTGCCATCATTCCGGGAGGATTAACCAAAGAACTCCAACCGCTAGATACTGGTGTCAATAGGGCGTTCAAAATTAAATTGCGTGCCGCGCGGGAGCATTAGATGACGGGTGAGTACATATTTACCAAGACAGAGGCAACGCCGGGCTAGTTACGCCACTGCCTGCCAATGAATTGTCGATGCCTGGACCAAGGTATCGGTCTCAACTTTCACCGGGCCGGAATCATCAATGAACAGCCAAGCAACAGCAACGAGACTGACTCAGATGATGACGAGAGGGATCCGGGCTTGCTTGATGTCGCTATCGCCCAACTGTTAAACTCCGACACTGAAGATGAAGAATTTGACGGATTTGTAGAAGAGGAATGGTTGAAAAAGTAAGTGTATTTTCTGTGTTTTATGTGCGTTACCAGTGAAGTTATTGTTAATGAGCTAAATCTGATCCATCCGACTATTTTGTTACGCTTATTGCGCTTTATAATCCGGTGCGCTTTACATATGAAATTAGAATCGTTCACTGATTCTGCGTCTTATAATCCTTATCGTCCAAAAATTACGGTAATTGTGATCTACATGGTAGTGTTAGTGAATGCGCATGTCGACATAGGTTGTGAATACTTCGGTTAGCGAAGAGTTTCCTCTTGGCGTAAGTACCTGTCCATCGCAAATCATCACTGGTTTAATTAAAAAATGAGTTACAAATGTGCTTGCGAGTAACAGTTGTAAACCTATTGAGTAACCACATGTTTCTGCCTTACATATTTTACCCACCGATTTCCCAGAATTCCTCTCATCTGAAATTTTGGCTATTTCCTAGTCAATTGGGTGTTTAGCATCCTTGACCTGGAATCCTTTTCGCAAAAACCAAAACGACTGCTGTTTGTTGTTTGCGTTATATTTACATGGCTCTTTCACATTGTATCCTTTATGCAAGCGCTACTAAAAAATCTCAGTAACACAGCCACCAGATTCCCGCATTAGATGCCGTTTATTTAAAAAGCAGCTGCTGATTACATAACTGCACTGTTGCTGAAGACTCACATCGTTTGTTTATTTGCCCTGATCCTGGTGCTCTTGGTGCTGCATAAGATTGTTCTTGCATCTCATGTAATTTCAGTTTTACTTCCTGTTCAGATTTTTGAAGCAACTGGTCGATGTGCTGAATTCTGTGAAAAAAACGGAGGAGAGCTTGCGTAAACTTCGCGAAGCTCGGCGAGCATCCAGTGCTATATCGGATCAGATCCCAAACACTGGTGACGTGTGCCTAGACGAAGATAAGATTCGTCATCAGCTATACCTGGACGCGTGCTACTTCCGTGATCAGGTTCGCCTAACTGTATGAAGCACTCCACTTATTCACAAATCAGCGTTGTTGTGGTGTATATTCATTTCGATACCATTAAAGGAGTGCGTTTAATTTTTTTTCCGTTCACTAATCGACATTACTTCGCGGATAGCTCTTCCGACACATATGGTTTTGAATGGTAACAGTAGCGCGTAGTAGCTAGCTACATTTCGTTAACGTCATCCTTGGAAAGTGAACGAAGTTCATACTTTTGGCCTTAGGATTGCGCTTTCCTCTTCACTTCCCACGTCAGCGCCAGCTTTCCCGTGACTATTTTCATTTAGTCCAGTAAACTAAAAAGTCCTTGGTCGGGAAGCGTTAAATGGATATACATAATGCGTATTAGATTCATCGAATTGTGTCAAATTCCCCCTTCCGATTAGATGACCTATTTAACAACCTTTCCTTCGTGGACTAGGTCTCGGGTCCCACGGTGCCATCCGACATACCGATCGCTCTGCAACCATCCAAGGAATAAGATGTCACGTTTAGCGAAATCAGAGAACACCCTTCTTCATAGTGTCTCACTGTGGCGCATTGCTGATAATTGCGTAAAGGTAACGTGGATCCAAAGTTGATCCCTAAGGAATGCAAACATGTTCAGTTGCTCAGGAATCTGTCGCTATCGCCGTCCGTGTTCAGTCATTATGCGTACGAGCCGGTTGCGTAATAGTATCTCAGTAGGACCAACTGTCTCACATATTGTTAAATGTGCTACAAGATATTCGTACGGTATCGTTTTCTATACGCGCACGCGATCCAGCTGCTTTCCAAAACCGTCACGAATGCAGTGAGCGCGAAAGCGTTTTGCTTTTAAACTTCAGGCCTCGGTTATCACCCGGTGCCAACTTTGTAGGATATACATTAATCTCTGCTTGTTCGTTGCTATTGCGTCCGTCATCTTGGCCGGTTCAAAGGAATAAGACTTTCATGCATTATGTACAACCTCCGTTTCCAGATAGGCTTGTAAATGAAGCTAATTCGCGAGGTTTTGGCGTATCGTAGATATCTTTATCTTCCTGCATATCGTTCGCACATGCATCGAACTGCTACATATTGTCCACCATGATTCGCAACTTGCCGCGGACTCTGAATTCATCTTTTTTTATTTTCTTTACCTTAGGTGAACGTCTTATGTGGCACGAGTGAGGAAACTAGGAAGAAGCTCAACGAGATCGTGCAGCTAACTCGAACGTCCAAAACAGACGCTTCGTTGAATGGGCAGTGACTGAGTGCTTGCGAGAGAGACCGGTTTTTGTGACCAACGAAAATGGTTCTCTTTCAATTTTTGTATTTTGAACATAAAAGCATGCATAAACTTTTATTCGTACGGAATTCAGTTCAAAGCTCTTTGACGGATGTGATCATCTGTGTCTATAGACGGATCGACCACCTGCCTGCCCTCTTCTGTTCGTACCGAATCTGATATGGGCACTGGGCTGCCGTCTGTGATCAGCTTTGCGATGTTACATTGCGCATGATCCGGCAGTGCGTCTAGATAATCGACGCCGTCGACGTAAAGTTTTGGGAGGTGGTCCTCAAGCATCAAGCAGGCCAATTCCTTGTTCTCCATCATGGGATTATTATGCACCAGAAGGTGTCGGAGACTCCTACAAACGATCATAAAAGCAAAGGTGTAAATGAGTCGCCAGTGTTGCTATTGCGGTCAAAGTTTTTACATACTAAGTACTATATCGCTTTTTTTATTTTCGTGTTCTGTATTGTTTACTACCCCGCTTTTTTCATATATCTTACCTTTTACTAATGTAGTGGAAAGTTGGATGTAATTTTAGGTGTAGTTCATCACAGTCTCCTCTCAGTCACACATGGCTTAGTGGCACAAGCTGCCGGTAACCGGAAGTCATGGGGTCGGAACCCGGCAGGGGTCCGAGGAACGCGCGCCACTGATGAGACCCAGAAGGTCGAAACAGCGCTCTCTAGTGCTTTAACCAGATTTGTGGGAACCTGTCTGTCTAAGAGGGGACTGCGACGGACTGCATCTAAAACATATCTTTGTGTATTGCGACACAATAACAGTTGTTTCTCATCTTCAGCTAATGTGTACTGATAAATACCACAATATCGTTTATTGAAATATGCGCGTGGTGGACAGAAGTGCTCTGAAAAATCTGCAAAGGTCATTCATCAAACGTCTGGGCAGTAAGGTGTCCAACTCAAATCAACGGGTACGCTGCTATCAGCTACAACTCCTATGGTTGCTTTTGCACATTCTGACAAAATAAGAGACTTCCTCCAATTTGCCCACATTGGAATTACATCGTAATTTTCTTCGGAAGACTCGCAACAAAGGTTGTACACTACGTAGATCTAGGACAGCTATCTGCTCTAATTTCCTTCTCATCGAGTACGCTGCCCTGTGGAGTAGTCCACTAGCAAAAACATTTCGCATTACAGTTGAAAGTTACCTTGACTGGAACTCGATGATGACCTTGTTTCCAACAAGAAACCTCCCCAGTGAGTCCCAGGATGGACCGAGAAACATATAGCCAGTGAAAAGTTACACAAAAATCCAGCACCAACGGTAACCGGGTATCTTAGGAGGTTATAACAGCACAAACATGATAACAACTGTCTTGAGTACCAGAATAGCCCCTCGTGCACTCGAAAAAATATAAGTGTTATTAGTTCTCCTTGACCTGAAAGCCGCCTTCCACTCTGTTGATCTTGCGGAACTGCCTATCGGTGAGAGTTTCTATTCTGAAGTCTACCGTGACTTCTGGAATCGGGTAAGAGTCTGTGAGAAGCTGTCTCCTAGATTCGCCACAACAATTAAGGCCTCGCAGCGTTGCTTTATCTTTCCCTTCCTCCTCAACTTTGTGATCTAAATGATCATTAATGACTCCGTTCTGCCAGGTGGCCGACTGACAAACCTTGAGTATGCGGACGACATAGCTACCCTTGGGTCTGACGCAGTGGCTATTCAAGCGCTACTGCATATGATGATGCGTAGCGCTGCGAGCTTTGTCATCTGCTTTCCGCCTTCAAAGTGCAAGATGCTGTTGCAGGACTGGGCCAATACGCCATTGGTTCTAACTATCAGCCAAGATCCACTGGAAGTGGTGGATCGATTCACTAGGTAGCTGTGTCACGTCTGAGGAGGTTACTTCGCGTGGCTCTATATAGGCCCAATCAACTAAGAAGACGGTAGGATAGCCTGTCAGTGAGAGGTAGATTGTATAACGCTGTTGTAAGGCCGGTGTTACTCTATGGATCAGAGCCCTGGCCGGTTCGCACTGAAGACATTTAACGATTTACCGTCTTTGATCACCGGTATCACTCACATCTGGTGGGAACACCAGGTCAGCAATGCTGAGGTCCGCCAGTTGGTTTTAGGCAAGAAGCATTCTAGCGCCTGTGTCATGTTTGATGAAGCTTAAACGCTTACGTTGACTAGGTCATGCCCTCCCTAAGCTCTCTGACTGCCTCCCTCTGTGTGTATTATACGCCGTCGCTGCATCAAGTTAGGCGAAACCGCGATATGGCCAGTCAATGACGTTGTGTAGAGGCATGAAGAAACTGGTTGAGAGAATTGGTCAGGTTGGCGCATGGCGTCTTTATGGATGGGGGCATCGGGATGATCCACACCAATGGTTGGACACCACATTAGACATGGCGCAGTCAGTGACGTTCCTGCGTTCGGTTTTTCGCATCTAGTTGGTAATTCTCGTTCCAGTATGAATAGTTTAACGCACATCCTACATGATTCCATTCTCTTTACATTATATTTGCATTCGACTTCGTTTTCCTGCCATTGTTAATTTGGTACTTGAGTTGTGCAACTGAATCTACCGCACTTCGGTGCCCAGATCATAGTTGTGCGACTGAACACCTATCTGGGCTCTCACGAATGCACTCTCTGAAAGATCAGTGAGTCGCTACAGTGCCATGCTCGAGAATAGCGCGGAAGCAACAGCAATAGGGCTTGTGCATCGGTGACCTCGGCCCGATGTTCGTTAGAGTGAGAGAATGGTCACCAGACACTGGTCGTTTGGGCCCGTAACCAACGAGCTCGGGTACTGGGAAATCTGATCTACGAGGTGGCGGACAAAGCATTGCACTCATCACCACCGACAGCTGAGATTCTTGGCGATGTTCGGCTTTCACATAATCATCAATAGGGAACGAAAAGAGGGGTGAATGGAGAACTGATGTAGGGTCTAGACGCATTAACCGGGTAAGTAAGATCAAGAGACCTGCATCCTGTAAACGCCGTGCGGTAGAAGACAGATATGATCATCATTAAACATGTTAGCTAGACGTGGAGAACACCTCAACTTCTGTGTCGCAATAAATATGAAAGTAAGTAAAAGTTTCAACAGAGGCACAACAGTAGCGGATGGGCATTGTTCCGGAAAGCTACCAGCCGACTATTGTGCCGCAAAATATTTTGTCGAGTAAATGAAATCGTGGTTGGATGAAGAGGCTAAGCGGAAGGGGAGGGAGGGGAGAGACAACACAAACGCCACTGAAGTCAGCTTCTAGCCATGACAACAGTTGTATCCAACCAAACGTGTTCATCATCTCTGGGAGTAGGGAGCCACGAACCGACGCCAACTTCGGAGTGTGGGATTTCATTCCTCTTGACCAAGTCGACGCTTAGCCTTCTTCCATCCACACCATCGGTGCGCAAACAACGCATGTCGCAGGGTTCGGCGTGCTGGCATGCGCAACACGTGGCCCAGCCATCGGTGCCTGATGCGTGATATAATGCAGATCGAGCAATAGGCTGGCTTCGCGCGTACATTGGAATCCCTCGCTATCTACGTCTGCTGTCTTACAGAAACCCGATTGCAAGATCCCAGTCGACATCCTCCATTACATCTGTCTGATAACACGGAAGCAACCCCAGCATTTTTGGCTGACGTTAATGTCGCACTAATTAGCAAACCAGAGGGCGTGTTGCTAAACTGGTCCCCGGTTAACAGCCGACTGTGTGCAGTTCGGCCCCCGATCTTATGCGGGATCAGCAGGCGTTGCGAGGAAACACATCATCATCAATACACGCTGGCTGAGGGTGAGAAACATACCTCAGCTAAAGTACCGCAATACAAAAACGTGGTACAAAAAATTACACTATAAAAAATTCAAAAGCATGTGATATTGTATTATTATTATTCTTATGTGTAATTATATATGTAATTCGTATGTGATCGCAATCGGAAGGGGGAATCTAACAGGGAGGGGGTGGACAAAGAAACTTACGATACAAACCCCACTGGGGCCGGCTCTTCGCCATATCAGCAAGTGTGTTCAAGCAAACGCGTTCATGGTCCTTCGGACCCCAACCCGACAGTCGGGATGTATCAACCGACGCCAACTTCGAAGGGCTTTCATTTCTCTCGACCAAATTATCACTTGGCCTCCCCTCTTCCAAACGCACGCCCGGCGCGCAAACAATGCACGTCGCGGGAGTCGGTGTGCTGGCATGCGCAACACGTGGCCCAGCCATCGGAGCCTGGTGCGTGATATAATGGTGCTGAGCGGTTCACTCACTCTTCCTGCACCAAATACGCGACGCCGAACACGCTCATTGCTCACGCGGTGTTCCCACCAGACATGAGCTAAGCTGCGAAGGCAGCGATGATCGAATGTGACGAGTCTCTTCATGTCTGTCGACCTGATGGGCCAGGTTTCACAGCCATATAGGAGAGTTGAACGGACGGCTGCGTTGTAAACTCTGCCCTTGAGGGCGAGAGTAATGTCGCGTCTGCGCCACAGGTGGCGGAGATTGGCAAAAGCACCTCGAGCTTTTGCTATACGGTTCGTAACCTCATCTTCAATCCCACGGGTGCTAATATAGCTGCCTAGGTACTTGAATTCCTGAACGACTTCTAGCAGATCACCAGCAAGCGTTAGCGCAGGGTTGGGTCCCTGCCAATCTTGGAGAAGTACTTTGCATTTTGATGGAGCAAAGCATAGCCCAAAACGACTGACAGCCAGTGCTAATCGGTTCAGTGCTGTTTGGCATGTTTGGGAGCTGTCACAGATTAGGGCAATATCGTCTGCATACTCCAAATCAAGAAGTCGCTCACCAGGGAGTAGCTCCACACCTTCTATGTCGTGTCCAGCGAACACTGTTTCCATGACTTCATCAATAGCGAAGTTGAAGAGGAAAGGTGACAGCGGGCATCCTTGTCTCACACCGCTGATGATACTGAAGGGTGGCGAGAGTTTGCCATAAACCCTCACCCTGCCCGAACTATGTGCGTACAGCGCTTTGATAATGTTTACATATTTATCAGGCACACCTTTCCTCAACAGACAGTCCCAAAGGGCACATCGATCGACTGAGTCGAAGGTACCTTTTATGTCAAGAAACACGACAACGGTGGGTCGCCAATAAACATGGCGGTGCTCCAACACTTGACGCAATGTGAAGATGTGGTCGATGCAGCCCCGACCTCGACGAAATCCGGCTTGCTCTTCACGAATCTGGCTTTCACGAGTGCCAGTCAGTCTGTGGAGAATGAGAGAGGCAAGAAATTTAGAGGCAATCGAAATCAGACTGATCCCTCTATGATTGCCACATTCCAAACGGGAGCCTCCCTTGAAAATTGGGACAATGACGGAGCGGTTCCAGTCTGTCGGG